ACCTCCCCTAGTCTATCTCATTCAACGCCAGACCTCGCTCCTGGGCTTCGGAAACTTTCCACACTTCCGTGTCATCACATGCATTTTCCCTCCTGTCCTGAAGGCTCCCGTCCTGCAGAGCAATTGCGAAACTGTTAGGGTTCTCCGGGGCTGAATTTCACAGAACCTGTCGCCCTCCACCAGCACGGTACTCTTATCACGCGACAGTATCAGCTCGATCCGCAGTTGTCTTTCTACTCCTCTGTACCTCGGGGGGCAAGACGGCAGCTAAGGCTCAGGAATTCTCTACACAGCTAAGGGCTGCCCCTTATTCTGAGAGGAGGACGGTGCAGAATGCCACACAGCTGACCACCGGATCGCGAGCTCTAGCGGTGCGATCGCACAGCGAGCTCTTAACCAGGACGCTGCAGTTTAAGTCTCAGTAAATGGCAGGAGACTAAGAGCATTCATTACGAGAAAGAAAGAAATCCCAGTCAAGTCACGTATGTAAATCTGAACCCTAAGGTGACAGGGAAATGGGTCTCGCGGCAGGGAGGCTCCAGTCAGGGCACTTAAAGGCGGCTCTGGGCTAAGTCCGGGAGGGGCTCGGCCCGAGGCCGAAACAGATGGGGTGAAGCAGGCGGCGCCCCGGAATGCGCGAGGCTGCGTACGGACAGGGGCGAGAAGAGACCAGGCAGACTCGGATTTTCCCTCACAGAAGCCACTACTGCTGAATGGCGACGGCCAACATGGTACCTGGAGGTAGCGGCGGCGGTGGCTACAGCCCAACTCCGCGCTCCCCTCGCCTCCGGGGGCAGCTACAGCTCCGGAGCCCCGTTATTCGCGCTCCTCCTCCCGCTTCCGGTTCAGACGCAGCGTGACCGCGCGGCGCGCACCTCCAGAGGAAGAAGTCCGGCTAAGCGGCGGGGCGCAGTCTGCCCATGCGCACAAATATCACGCGCTCTCCGCTCCAAACACTCTCCCAAAACATTCGCCCGGGTCGAGAAAACGCGCCTGCGCACTGCCCACCAATGGTGAGCCGTCCTGCGTTTTCGGCTCGCCCGCAGGATAGGGCGCCAGCGCTCTGCCTGCTGGCGCTCTTAAGTCCCACCCCTCCGACTCCGAGGACGGAAATGACGACAGACGCGAGGAGCACGGAGGCGGGTTTCATTTAGGCGCCTTTCTCTCTCCCGCGCAAGCGATTGGTTGGCACAGACTGAAAGAGGCGGGACAAATTGCCGCGGATTCAGTACCGCCACTGCAACCAGGAGATGCGGCGCAGGAGCTGTCGCTGTTTGCTTATCCCGGAGTCTCGCCTCGTACTGGGGTTCCTTTTGCGTCTTGGATCATGTTGTTGCCCTCGGACGTGGCCCGGCTGGTACTGGGTAAGAAGCGGACACGACGGGGACGGTGATTGGGCCAGGCTAAGCAGGACAGAAGGACCTTCGGGCCCGAAGGGTTGCCCGGGCGGAGGGGCTGAGAGGATTTGCCTCCTCGCTTACAAGTTGAGGCTGGCGGTGATTTTCGTCCCGCGGAGGCGCCGGGCAGTTTAAGCTCCTTTGTAGGCGGCTGCCGCTGGCCACAGGCTGCGTGGCGAGGGGAGGGCTGAGGAGAAGCCCGGGCTGCAGCAACCCCGGGGGCCTGGATTCGGAGGTGCTCAGGCCTGCGCGCTTCTCCGGGACCCCTGCAAGACTTGGCTACGTGACCGAAGGGCTGCGTGATCCCTGGGCAGAGCTAGGACCAAAATAGCACTTCCTCAGCCGCCCCGCTCTGTAGAAAGACCTTCCTGACGCCCTTCTCCTAGGGCGGGCTCAGAACGGCCAGTTCGGGGCGGCTGCTTCTCCCCGCTCTGCACTACGGCGCCGGGTGCAGAGGTGTGAAATGCCTGTTTGCATATTTTTAAAAAGTTAATTCCAGTTCCTTTAACGAGCAAAAAATTTCAAGCAGAATGCCTTCTAGTTACACATTTTCCCAGCCGCAGTTACTTTTTCCTCCATTTGAGGAAAGTTAGTTCGTTGGCCACTTGTGTGTCAGGGGGTATTGTCGGTATAAGACATGGTTTTTGTTATTGTTTGTTCCCGATCGCGTGAAAGCGAGTGTACGGCTGAGAATGAGAGCAACGTAAAGCTCAGAACTCGAGCCAGTTTGATTTATAAACATCAGGAGACATTTAAAAGTAAATGGTAAACATCTGATGAAACCGCCCATGGTATCTTTCCACAACCATCAATATCATTCTTTTATTGTTCAAAATATTTAGTTGTTTTGTGACTTTAGAACACCCAGCACTGCCCAAAAAAAACTGTATTTGTGTAGGACTCTAGATACGCACATTTTTGCATATTGGGGGAAATGGTTCCACCAATCACTTGCGGAGAAATTAACGACTAAAGGTTGAACTAGTATTTTACATCTAATCTTACCCCTTTGTGTAGTCACCCTAAATCAATACCTATGATAAAAAGCTGGCTGTATTGTAATTAGGTTTACATGTAACCTAGTGAAACGTAAACTTTCACAATATAACTGACATACCGTGTTTTTTTCCTCTGTAAATTATTTGCTTAAGAGTATTGACTTTTAACAGTTAGACGACCTAATTGAGTTTAGTAATCATAGTCTTAAAAATGACTTATTAATGTTACCACTATTGACATTTTGGAGTAATTGTTTATTAGGGCAGGTTGTCTTGTGCCCAGATTGTGTGAGATGTTTGACAGCACCCCTGAGCTCTGTCCCTTAGGTGCCAGGATATCCCCACCCCTGCCCACTTGTGAGGAGGAAAATGTCTCCGAATATTGCCAGTAGGGTAATATGTCCCCTAGAGGGCAAAATCGCCCATAGTTAAAGAAAGCTATATTATTTTGTAATATTATTTTGTAATTGGAATAATTCACACCAAATTCTATTTTCTCTCCTCAAGCTATTCTGCTTGACCTCCTACTTTTCTTTCAATGGATAAAAACTCCAGCATCTTTTTTGGTTTTGTTTTGTTTTTTACCCAAGAGATTTTTGTATTCACAATCTATTTTGACTGCCACAAATCTGGCAATATGCTGCCTGTTATTTCTATTTTGGACTTTGGTCATAGCTTTCCATATAGTCTAGTTGTAAAGTTCTTATGCCACAGCATATGTCCTAAAAGTTGAAACTTTTTTTTTTTTCTGCTTACTGAGTGTACAAAAAGGCAAACATTGAGGCCTGGGGATGTAGCTCAGTTAGGGAACACTTGGCTAATACTTTATGTGTGTGGATTCAATTCCCAGCCCCACACACACAAAAAAACTTTTTAAAGCAAGCCACACCACACTCACTGCCGTTGAATTTGTTGTTTAGTATTATATGTTTTAATGTATGTATTGTATGTATTTATCTTACATCTTCAGTTCTGTTATTTGCTAATTTTTCTCCTGTCTTCAGTCCCTCTCTTGTTGACCCTTTTTCTTGTACCTTTTGGGTGCCTAATATGTTCCAAACACTTACAATTTCTACAGAAAAGTAAAGTTTCTCCTCTCAGCATTCATTAATTAGGTCTTAAACCTTTAAGGCATATGTACACTGAAGCACTTTCCTAAACCCTGTGTCACGTTGTCTAATGCTATATTTCACCCTTTCACAAGTCAGTTGTTCATGAAACTGCTTTACTTGTTTGTACTGCTTAATCTCCCTCTTATTCATAAGAATACTGCGCTCTTACTACGCTTAAAGAACTGTTTTGCTATTTAACTGTGTAGCAACCTGTTGATGGAGTTTTTAAAAATATTGCATGAGCCAAAATACATCAAAGTGTTGTTCACTGCCTCTGGGCCACCATTTTGGTTTTTGTCAGTGTATCCTACAAGGTGCTGTATGGAACTCATCCTTCTTGCTTCTCCTGCTTGATGCCATCTTAACATTTGCCCTATGCTGCAAACATTCCAAACTACTTAGTTTCTCCAAATATTATTATATATTCTGCCTCCCCTTATCTCCCTAGTACAGTATATTTGTATTCAAAATTAAGATCAAACGTGATCCCTGAAATGTCTTCCAGCAATTACATTTATTTAGTAATTTCTTGGTTATAGTTGGGGTTTTCTTTGAGGGGGGAAGCTATTCATAACAGAATTTGCCATTTCTAAATGTATATTCTGTGGCAGAAGTATTGCAGCTGTTACCACTATTTACCTGTAGAACTTTTTCATTTTCCCCAAACTGAAACTTACCTTTGTTTTACTTAGTGTTATTAATCTTGGATTAATGTACGAGCTTCAAGAGTTATGGGAGCCTTCAAAACTATCTGTGTAGAAATTTATGTGCAGATGAGTGAATCCAAAATTTTCTACAGTTTCCTGAATGGGTTTGTTACTTTCTTATTGAATCAGCATCCAGGAAGAAAAAGCAGAAATCAGTGTATTTAGCGTGGATTTAATGAGGGAATTGGTTACATTGGCAATAGAAAAGCTAAAAAGCCAAAATAGCTCACAGGAGTCAATTTAAAAGTTAGCACAGTAAGAAGCCACAGCACCCATCAGGAGCACAGAGAAAGATAAAACAACTGAGAAGCAACTATGTATAGGAAATAGAGGTAGACTTGCCTGATAAGGTAGCTATAGTTAAATTCTAGCAAAACGGGAGTAGAAATCAGGGAATCTTCCTGCTGCCCATCAGTCTCCCCTTAGGAGTCCCCATTTAGCAAATCCGGCCAGAAGTTAGCTGGTATGCAAGCATGGGAAACCTTACCTGTTTGAAGTGAGACTTCCTGTCATACATTAGAGAGCAGGGGAACAATGAAGAACGGATTTGAGAGCAAACAGGATGGAGACTGGCCCACCCCGCCCTCCCAATAGTCAAGAGCCACTGGTTCTAGTCACCTTTGATGTCATTAAGACGTAGATGTTTAATGAACAGATACAAAAGAGTAACTAGTCATGACATTCTCTACTGAACAATACCTGTACTTGTTGCTGACCTTTACAGCCTTTAGTGATCTTTACCCATTCTGTTTTTTCTGTTGTATCTCCAGCTGTTCTTCGTATAGTTTGTGCCACATCCAAATTCGGCATATTCTCCAAATAAGCTCTGTATGTGCACTTCCATCAGCATCAGTGGGATTCCCAGCCGTCCTTCAGGACTCACCTCATCCTTGAAGTTTTGCATAATTTCCCCTAAGCCTGGTAGTAATTTCTCTAGTCCCTGCCTTCCCATAAAGTAAGTCTGTCCTGTCTTTTTACCACTTCTGCTTGGTATGCAGTTATTTGTATATATAACTTCTGGCTCTTTATAGATCATAACATTTATAGATTGATACCTTCTCTCTGTTATTTGGAGAACTAGTAATATAAGACACTGAAAATTAAGTCCTTCAAAAATTATATTTTTCAAGGACATTAAAAGCATATGTGAAAGAGATATTTTCACACAGGGGGTTCTACTCTCTTGCTTTCTTCAGACTTCTACCACCCCCCCTGCTGTACTGGAAATTGAACCCAGGGATACTGTACCACTGATCTACATCCTCAGCCTATTTTTATTTTTGAGATAGTCTCACTAAGTTGTCATGGCCTGACTCAAAATGCTGGTATTACAGGTATGCATTGCTGCATCTGGCTCAGGCTCTTCTCTTTTAATCTTTGCTTCTTTACAAACACAAAGTAGAGAGGTCAAACTTTTGGCATCTCATTTTTTAAAATGTAAATAATGTTGATGTAGCAAGGATATTGTCTGTCACCGAGTTGAGAATTGGTTACAGCCAGGGCGTGGTGGCCCACGCCTGTAACCCCAGCACTCGGGAGGCTGAGACAGGAGGATCGTTGTGAGTTTGAGACCAGCCTGAGCTACAAAGTGAGCTCAAGGCCAGCCTGAACTGGGTAGCAAGACCCTGTCTCAAAAAGACAAAAAAGAAAGAGAGAATTGGTTACAATCAGGTGCTTAGCAATGATAAACAATTTTATAGGCATGTAACTGACATTGAACATGGAAGTTTACAACTCTTTCCTACATAATTTTGGAATTTCTTGGACAAAAATAAAGCGAAATACATCAAATCTAATCTAAAATTGGAACTTGAGGTTGCAGAAAGTTAGATAAATATTTTAGAGGAGATAATGCACCTCAGATATTGTTTCAAGATAAAATGAACACTTGTTACAGAAATTATGCAGCCTTTTTTTTGTTTGCTTTTGAGATGGTCTTGCTAGGTAGCTCAGACCCGCCTTGAACTCACTATGTAGCTCAGGCTGGCCTCAAACTCCTGGTAATCCTCCTGGCTTAGCCTCCTGACTGCTGGGATTAAAGGCATGTTCCACCATGCCCGGCTAATCCAACCTTTTAACAGAGCCTTTTCTCAAGTGTGTACTATGCAAGTGTGTACTGTCTTGTTGACATGCCATAAATTATGATTCTTTTCCCGACATGTTAGCACAAATGACTGTATTCTGTAAAAGGTCAGCTACATGTGTAGAACATTATTTCTCAAACGTCATTTCAGTGTTGCATCCCTTAAGAAATAGACTCCACCCCATACCCTCCCACATGAGATTTTCATGTCAGAAATATACTTTATATCCATTCCTATATTGTGTGTGATTTATTCATTGAAATGAGATTCCTCCCTCTTACTCTCCCAGAACCAATTTTCACTGTGCTTCACTTCATACCACTCTTTGAGAATGTATGGTGTCAGGGAAAGAAAATTTTTGAGGATTTAGATTTCATACCACCACCTGTCAAATGTCACAAGTGACTGAATGCATCTAGGGCAATTAGTACTTTTGGAACTGTCTACCATGAAAAGAAACTTTATTTGGGATTTTTAAACTAAACCTGAAGCATAGGAAAAGTTCAACTACCTAATTTCAATGTGACTCCAGTATTTTATACATATTTTATATTTTTGTTTTCACAAAATTTTAGTAGGAGCAGACTCTATCCCAAATAACATAATTGTCAGAATGCCAGCTATTGCAAAAATGATTTCTTTTTAGCTGGCTATACTTTTCACAAATTGAAAAATAGCAATCTATCTTTAATTCATATAATTTCACTTTTGCAGTATGGTGTCCGATGATGGAAATAGTAAAGTAGTAGTATAAGAAATAAATGTTTCTTCAGGTTCCTACATGCTTTTTAATGCCAGAGAGAGCACATTGTCTCTGATTTTGGATTTGACTCTCCTTGTAGCCTTATAGCATTAATTAACAAGAGATTGGAAAACTGATTTCATTAACTACAAATAGAAAGTGGTAAGTTGGTTCCCATATCATAGGGTATTGCCTAAAATGGAATGACTTTTTCCTTGCCCTTTTCTTTTTAAAGGCCTCAGGCCTCTTGTGTAATGACTTTGTAGGCCATCTTATTAGTTTTTAGTATTAGTACCTGGCTATAAAAAGTTGCAGCTGAAGTGTATAACCTTGTTAATTTTAAAGTTAGGCCTTCAACCAGTGATGGCGAACCTATGGCATTTATGTGCAGTGGGCTGTTTGTATCGTTGAAACTTCTGAAAGGTTTACTATCACTGCTTTAGACTTATTTCTTTAGTAGCTAACAAAAACATATTTACTGTTATACCAATACTGAGATAAGTACACTACAAAGGCAAGTGTAATGGAATATTTATAAGCATTGGGTAGGTATTACTCAGTACCTGTAAGAATATAGGCAAAAAAAGTATGGTACATAGAGGATTCAAAAGTGGTTCTCTGAGGAAATGATTATTAAACTAACCCTCGAAGAATGAGTTCAAGTTAACTAGGCTAAGATGAGCTGCCCACTATAATGGCCTTAAAATAAGATCATTCATGCTGTTTGTGGGATTGAAAGACAGTTTAGCTGTAAAAGATGGAATGGGAAGACCTGAGGTAGAAAAGAAAATTGGTACAAAGCAGGTATAGCTTCATATGACATGTTCAGAATTTAGAATTTTTTTTTCAATGAGATGTATAATTTATATAACAAAGTATAAAATTCTGTGGCTTTTAGTTTATTCGTGATGCTATACAACCATCACCAGTAATTCTTTTTTTTTTTTTTTTGGTTTTTTCTCTGGTACCAGGAACCGAACTCACAACCTTGCGCTTGCCAGGCAGGCGCTTTGCTGCTGAGCTAAATCCCCAGCCCCATCACCAGTAATTCTGAAACATTTCCCTAACTCCAGAAAGAAGTCCCTGTGTTGTATTCAGTCCCCAAGGCTGCTCCCTTTCCCCAAATCCACACATACATTGTTAACAGGCACTCCCAATTTAATTTCCCTCTACCCATTCTCAGGCAACTGCTTTCTCTTTTACAGTATGTGGATCCTGAACATTGCATGTAAATGCAATGTTAAATGTGATGTTTTTGTTTTTGGTCTATCATTTAGCATGTTTACAAGATGGATCTGTGTTATAGCAGGTGTTAGTTCTTCCATCTTAGCATAATTTGGTAATACTGTGGTTTTTCCTCTTTGCTTTTTCTTTTCCTTTCCACCCATCCCCTTGTGCTGAGGATCAAATGCTGGGCCTCCTATTTGTATGCAAGTGTTTTACCAATGAGCTACATCACCAGCTCTTTTGTATATTATTATTGTGGGATTGAGTTTCATTAAATTGCCCAGATTGGCTTCAAACTTGGCAGTCCTCTTGCCTCAGCCTTCCAAGATGCTGAGATCACGACTAGGTGCTACCACACCTGACCGTTTTACATTTTTCTGATGACTAATATCTTAAGCCTCTTTTTTCATGTCCTTGTTAGCGATTTATATACCTTCTTTGAAGAAAGATCCTTTCATATGTTTTGTCCATTTATTATTTTTATTGCCCTCTAAAGGTTCACTATATTGTTTAGTTTCTAGTCCCTTATTAGATACATGATTTGCAAATATTTTATTCCATTTTAGTTTTTTCACTTTTTTAACAGTGTACTTGGAAGGATAAAAGTTTTAAATTTTGATGTTCCATTTCTTTTTTCTTAGGTTGCTTATATTTTAACGTATTCACAAAAGGACCATAATTCGTATGTCTCACTACCAGGCAGCTCTGATTTGAAATCAGTCATTGTTGTCGGCCCAAACCACTAGTTTTTTACATATTTTTTTGTACTGGGAAGCGAATCCAAGGCCTTGTGTTTGCCAGGCAATTACTGTGCTGCTGAGATAGCTTTTTGGGGTTTTTTTATTTGTTCTTTTTACTTTTTTTGGCCTTTTTGAGACAAGGTCTCACTATGCAGTTCAGGCTGATCCTGAACTCACATTGTAGCCCAGGCTGATGTCGAACTCACAATGATCCTCCTACTTCAGCCTCCCAAGTGTTTTTATTTTTAGACAGGATTTCACTATGCGGTTCAGGCTGACCTTGAACTCAATTTGTAGCCCAGGCTGGCCTCAAACTTGCAGCAGTCGTCTTACCTCAGCCTCCTGAGTGCTGAGATTCCAGGCATGCACCACCATACCCAGCCTATCTGGGTCTTTGATTACAATAACACAAAGAAAGGGGTCAATTTAGTAAACCAGGTGTTAGCATATTAGTCTCTTAAGGAAAACATTAAAATGGTATAAAAAATGTAATATACCTAATTTGTGATACAATGGCAATAAATGTATGTTATTATATATACCAGTAATGGGATATTTGTAAGGTTTCCATGTTAAAATTAAAGAATTAATTATTGAGAAAAGTTTTCAATTAGCAATAATCATGCCTCAGATAAACCCCACTGGCTACAGTACTGCTACTGCGCAAAGCTAAGAATTAATTACTGATAAACTATAAACATATATATTTTTTGATTTAATGAAATTTTAAAATTTGATTATCTTAATAAATTATATTTGGCCGGTAATCATTCAAGTTCAGTAATTATTCAGTTCTAAGTAGATTTGGTGTACTTAGAGACTTTTTAGTAATTTTATTAGGAAAAAGTCTGATAAAAATAATTAGATCCATTTTCTACCATCCATGGGTATAGGCTGCCTGATGGTATAGTCATGCATGTTCAAGCTCACAGGAATATGTTAAGCGTTATATCTAAGAAATCATTGCTCAGCCAGGCTTGTTGGTACATGCCTGGAATCCCAGCACTTGGAAGGCAGAGGCAGGAGGATGGCCCAGAGTTCAAGACCAGGCTACACTACAAAGTGGAATCCGACCCCAAAAGAAAAACCATTGCTCAGTCCAGACTCACAAAAATGTACCTTTTTCCTAAGAGTTTTCTTGTTTGAGTTTTTACATTTAGATCTTTGATCCATTTGAGTTAATTTTTGAATGTGGTCTAAAGTAAGGGTCAAATTTTGTTCTTTTCCTTGTGAATATCCAGGTCAATTGTTAAATGTATAGGAATACAGTTGATTTTTTACATACTCCTCTTGTATCCTGCAATTTCATTGCATTCACTCTTTTTTTTTTTCTGTATGAATTCCTTAGGATTTTCTATTTAAGACGGCATGTCATCTGCAAATAGAAGTACTATGACTTTTTGTTTTCCAAACAGGATGCTCAATTTCCTAATTGTCCTGGATAGAACTTCCAGTATCATTTTATTTTGAATAGAAGTGGCAAGAACAAGCCTGATGTGGGGACACAGGCTAGTAATATCAGCTACTCGGGAAACTAGTGAAGGAGGATCTCAAATCTCCCCAGCCTGCACAACTTAGTGAAACCCTACCTCAAAATAAAGTAAAAAGGGTTGAGGATGTCGCTCGCACTGCAAGACCCTGGGTTGGGTTCCTTCATCACAGAGTAAGCAAAGAACGAAGGAAATGGCAAGAGCAGACCTCCTTCTGTTATTTCTGCTTTTGTAGAGAGAGCCTCGAATCTTTACCATTGACGGTATCAGAGATGTTTTTATCAAATTGGGAGAATCCCCCTGTCCTAGTGTTTTTTATCATGAAAAGGCGTTAAATTATAGTACATTGTTTTTCTACCTATATTAAAGGAATAATGTGGTTTTTGTCCTTTGTTAATGTAGTATATTACTTTAAAAAATTTATGGAGAACTGGTGTTAAATCTTCTGCAGTGTTTCATAGAAGTCACCAATAAGGTGATTTGATCTTGGGTTTTTCTTCATGAGCAGTGTTTTAAATATTTACTTACTTTTTTATGCAGTACTGGGGACTGAACCCAGGGCCTTTACATTGAGTTAATTCCCAACCTTTTTCATTTTTTATTTTGACACAGGGTCTTAGTAAGTTGCTCAAGTGCGCAGACTGTGCTTGAACTTGTGAGGTAATCCTTCCTTTTCAGCCACCCAGAGTGTTAGATTCTAGTTTCCCACTGTGCCTGGCTGGTTTTCATAATTTGAGCTATTGTTTATTTGATCTACCTATTTTTGTTTTGTTTTGTTTTGTTTTGTTTTTCATCTTTTCAGAGAGCCAGCTTTTGGTTTCATTGGTTTTTCTTATCTCCCTTTTATTTCTACTCATATTTTCTTCTGTATGCTGTGGGTTTAGTTTGCTCTTTTACTAGTTTCTTAATGTGCAAGATTAGGTTATTGATTTAAGATTTTTTCATACAGGTGTTTACAACTGTAAATAGTCTACCATACACCATTTCAGCTCTATCTCATAAATGTTGCTATGTCATGATTTTGTTTTATTTCATCTCATAATATTTTCTTAATTTCTTCTTACTTCTTCTTTGATCCTTTTATTATTTAGAAGCGTGTTGTTTATTTTCCACATATTTGTGAAATTTCTACATTTTCTTATGTTACTGACTGCTAATTTCATTCCATTGTGATCAAAGAGCATACTCTGTACTTCAGGCTTTTTAAATATATGGAGACTTGTTTTATATCCTAATACATGGTCCAAACTGGATACTCCATCTGCACCTAAGTAAAATACATGTTCTGTTAGCATTGAGTATTCTACTGACTTGAAGTCTGGTTAGTTTACAGTGTTGAGATCTTTGTATATTTGCGCTAGTTATGAAAAGTGCATTTGTGGAGTCTCTACCTCGTACTGTTGAATTGTCTGTTTCTTACTCCACTTGCGTCAGTGTCTGCTTTGTGTTTGGGGGGCTCATTGTTGGGTGCACCTGCGCTGTAATTTTTTTGATGGATTGACCCGATTATAATTACCTTTGTTTGTAGTAGCAATATTTGTCTTATTGTCTACCTTATCTGATATTAATTTCTCCAGTTGCTAGTTCTCATTTGGTAATTGTGCTCCTATATAGTGCCATTCTGTTCCTCCTTTTTGAAGTAAAAATCATGAATTTCATATATACTTTTGTCTTTTTAAGCAAAGAGAAAAGTTACATACAAAATGTCTTCTTTCCCCCATATATATGCATTTTTGGAAACAGGGTCCCACTGTGTAGTTCAGGCTAGCTTTGAGCTTGTGATCCTCCTACGTCAGCCTTCCAAGTGTTGGCATCCCAGAAATGAGTGACCGCACTGTGCTCATTTTATATTTACCTTTGTAGCTCTCCTTACTATTGTTTTTATGTGGATCCTAATTACTCTCCAGTGTCCTTCACTTTAGCTGGAAGGACTTTCCCTTTAGTGTTCCTTATAGGGCAGGTCTGCTAGCAACAAATTTTGGTTTTTGTTTTTATTTGCAAATACATTTACTTTTCTGATTTTGGGTGAAGATTTTTGCTGGATATAGGCTTCTTCATTAACATTTTTCTATCATGTCTTTACTTTTGACAGGCGTAGGGGACCAGGAATCGAACTCAGGAACTCACACTTGCCAGACAGTCCCTGTGCCGCTGAGCTAAATCCCTGGCCCTCTGTCATGTCTTTAAATACTGTTTTTCACTGCCTCTGGGCTCTGTAGTTTAAAACCAGTGGTTTTTTGTTTTTGTTTTTTAATTTTAAAAAGAGTAGTAAATGAGAAACAAACAAAATATAGAACAGTGGCAGCATACCAGGATCACAAACATAAACAAATCAAAGAAAACCAGCTTTTAATCTTCAGGGTTGTTTGTATGTGTTGTCATTCTTTTGGTGCTTTTGTGATTTTTGTCTTTTTACAGTTTGATTATATATCTAGGTACGGCTCTCTTAAGTATATACTAACTACTCGGAGTTTATTGAACTTCCTTGATATGGAGATTGTTTTTCCTTAAATTTGAGGAATTCGAAGGATATTATTTCTTCAAGTAGTCTTTCTGACCCTTTCTGTCATCCTGGAGTAATAGTCATTATGCTTATGTTACCACACTTGATGGTATCTTACAAATCTGAGACTCTGATTATTTTTCAGCATTCTTTTTTGTTTCCATTTCTCAAACCAGATAATTGCAATTATGTTTAAGCTTGTTGATTCTTGAGTATTCTGAAATCTCCTGTTGAGCCCCTTCTAGTGAATGTTCTATTTGTGTCATTATACCTTTCAAGTCCAGAATTTTGATTCAGTTATTGGTATTTACTGTTTGATCAGACAGCATCCTCAAATTTCCAAGCATGATTTCATTTAGTTCTCTGAATTTATTTGAAAATACTTATTTAAAGTCTCACACTTGAAGCCTGAGTTTCCTTCAGTACTGTTTCTGCCCCCTTGTAGGAGTCATTCTTATTTCTGTGTGCGTGTAAGATTGGACATTTTAAATAATACATTGTGACAATTTTTATAATATAATTCTCCTTTCCCCATGTTATTTTAGCTGTTGCTTGTTGGTGAATTTGCAGAATTAACTGTATTTTTTCCTTTTTAAAAATGTATTAGTACATGTTTGCAGTACATGCATTTTACAGTTATCTTGGGGAGTTGGTCCATGCACATAATATAGCTTATTTCTTTCTTATAATCCCCTTCTCTGTCCCCTCATGCCCTCCTGTAATTCCCCTTCCCCCTTTTCTGTCTTGTTGATATTATTAATCTTAGTTCATGTTTATGGCATATGATGTTTACATTCATTGAGATTATTAGGATCCTGTATGTGGCATATCTTCTCTCTACCTACTTCCCCCTCATCCCTCACCATTGGCCCCTGAAGCCCTTCCCATCTGCAAGAGCTCCATCCCCTTGTCTCCTTCTCTCTTTCCTGTATCTTTCTTAGTTTGTACTTTGCCTTCTCGGATGAGAGATGCCAATCAAAAAATAACAAATGCTTGTGTGCCTGTGGTAAAAAAGAAACCCTTCTACACTGTTGATAGGAATGAAAACTGGTACAAGTACTATGGAAATCAGTATGGAGAATCCTCAAAGAACTAAAGTTAGAAATTCCACGTGACCTAGCTATCTCCCTTCTAGGTATCTTCCCCAAAGACGTCGCACTACAGCAATACATGTGTACCAATGTTTATAGCAGCACAATTTATAATAGCTAAATCTTGGAAGCAGCCTGTATACCTATCAACAGATGATTAGATAAAGAAAATGTGCTATCTCAGCTGTAAAGGACAAATTTGAGACATTTGTAGGAAAATGGATTCACCTGGAAAACGCAATGCTGAGTGAATTAAGTCGGACACACAGCACAAATACTATATGGTAAACTCTGTGTTTTGTAAAGAGGTTTTTGTTTCATTTTTTGAGACAGGGTCTTGCTGTGCACTTCAGGTTGGCCTTGAGCTCATTATGTAGCCTAGGCTGGCCTCAGACTCGCAGCAGACCTCCTGCATCAGCCTACCACTGCTGGGATTACAGGTGCGCTCCGTTGTGCCTGGTTTAAGAGTTGATATTCAGTGATTGAACATTGGTTTCCTTAAATACCGGGGGCCAATAATTTTTTACGCTGCTTATCAGTGGGGTTTATCTGTGCTTTGGGGCATGATTTAAGATACAGCCAAGCAGTCAGTAACTCTCTTAACCTGTACTGGTTAAATTAAACTTAAGGTTCTTGCTGGAATTGGTAATGCTTTGATTCCCAAATGTAAAATTAAAAATTATGTATTTATTTATCATTTCTTGGTTTTTCTATAAGCATTACTGTAAAATAACTGCACATTATCAAATATCTCATTTTACATTAGCTAGTATTGTTTCCTGTGAAGAAGCCACCTATTCTGTGAATCTTACTTTGTTGTGCAGTACAACCTGTTTTCTGGGAAAGCATATTCTGCTTGGGGCTCCATTTATATTGCTGGTATTTGCTCTAACATTTTCAATAGCAGTTTTAATGAAAATGCAAAATTTACTGAAAGTACTTAAAAAATTTTTTTTTTCCATTTAGGTTACTTACAGCAAGAAAACCTCACTTCTACCTGCCAGACCTTTATATTGGAAAGTTCAGATTTAAAAGAATATGCAGAACACTGTACAGATGAAGGTTTTATCCCAGCCTGCTTACTGGTGAGTTACTTGTAGCTTAAAGGAAAAATCTCATCATTGACCATACAAGGGACTAAATATGGTCATTAAAATCAGCTCATCAAAGCCAAGTGTAGCAGCCTCCCAGCTAGTTGGGAGGCTGAAGTGGAAGGATCACTTGAGCCTAGGAATTTGAAAACAGTCAGAGCAACAAAGTAATGCCCCATCTCAATAAAAAAATTTTTTAAATTAGCTCATCAGCAGAGTCAAAATTGGCAGAAATTCACTGGTTTATACTTAACAGGACTGATAAGACCTTAAAAAAAGGCCAGCTGTTCTGTTACGTGGTTTTGCTAAACTCTTAGTGAATTACAGATTTGCCTCCTGAAAATTAGTTTTTGGGGTTTTATTGTTGTTGTTGTTGTTGTTTTTCTTTTCTGATGATACTAGGGATTGAATCTAGGACCTTCAGCCTGAGCTATATTCCCAACCCTTTTAATATTTTTTTTATTTTTGAGACTGTCTCTATACCTATGCTGGGCTCAAACTTGCAATCCTGTCTCACCCTCCCAAAGTAAGAATCAGTTTTAAATGTCCTCCCCACTTAGTTTCACTAATGCTTCTCTCAGCCTTTTTTTTTAATAGGAGAGGTTTATTTGGCTTACATTGTCACCTCTTTTGTAAATATAGCCTGACCAACAGCATCAATTTGTATATAATAGATACATTTTAAGATTATGTTATTTCATGTGGCATTTGTCATTCCATCTTAAACGTGGCTCGTTAGAGGTATTTTAACCATAACAAATGATTCTCTAAATAGGAAACCTAAAATAATTTTTTTTTTTTTTTTTTTTTTTGGTTTTTTTTTCTCCGGTACCGGGAACCAAACTCACGACCTTGTGCTTGCCAGGCAGGCGCGTTTGCCGCTGAGCTAAATCCCCAGCCCCACTAAAATAATTTTTTAAGAACTACAGTTGATCAAGGTTGTATCATATGACACATACAAAAACCCATTGTATTTCTACATACACAGTGAAGAATTAGGATTTAAATTTTTAATACCCATTTATAATAGCAACAAACAACAAAATACTTAGTCTAACAAAATATTTAGGATCCCTGTGTTCAGAATGGCATGAAAGAATTCCAAGGTGTAAATAAACGGAAAATGATTTTTGTGTCCATGTGACGATTCAGTATTAGGTCAGCTCTCCCTAATGTGTTACAGATTTATCATATTTAAAACCACTGTAAACAATTTTGCACGTAGGAACATGCAGAACTATAAATTTTATTAGGAAAGGAATCTAAGAGCCCACACAGTTCTCAAAAAGAACAAGTTGGAAGACTGAGATTTCAGAAGCTTCAAGGTCAAACTTAACAATGAGAAACACAGCAAACTTTACTCTAGATTGGACTTTGGAACAGAAAAAGTACCTTAGTGGGAAAATTGGCAAAATTTGAGTAAAGTTTATATTAGAGTTAATGTTATTACTCAGATAAAAATGCAGTGCTATCATAAGATGTTAATATTCCAGGACCCTAAGTGAAGGCTATTACAGGAACTCTGAACTACCTGTGGGATTCGTCACTGACTCTTCAATTACTTAAAAACAAAAAACTTAAAAATCTTGTAAATAAGTACAGGTAGGTACTCATGTCCCTTTTCTTAGATAAGGAAACCGAAGTTCAGAAAGAGGTAATTATATGCATAAAGTTTTTAGAAGTAAGGAGCGCTAAGCTTCTTTGCTGTGCTTTATGTGTCACTGTTACTTTTTATTACTAAATGTACTACTAGCTAGGATCCCAAGATAAGAGAAGAAGAAAAAAAAGCAAACTGCAAAAAAAGATGGAAGTATTGCAAGAGTATGATGGCTGATTCATCCTTCTGTCATTCCCTTTGGTGAGGCCAGAGGGAATTGATGACTATCATCTGTGAGGTGGTGAAACTTTCATGTCCACATCTGAAACTATACAGCAGTTGACAATATTAAGTTTCTATGCAGAAAAAGCTAATTCTTTATCCGTCATTTGACAATTGACCACTTAAAAGTTTACCTTGAATATCACTGAGGCAGCACATTTGTTTACTTATTGACTATCCCAAGCATCACTGGGGCAGGTGTCATTTCAACCAGTCGATTCTTGTGCTGAATAAATTTGATAAAATTGTGGTTTTTATATTTCCTGTTATCTTATAAAAACGAAAAAATACAGTGTTTAATCATACTGTATTTAAATAATTGGACTGGTAAGTGGTTAATCTTTACTTATTACTGGTTATTATCAATAGAACAAGATATAAATACCAAGATAATATTAAAGCAAATCCCATACTTTTCAGGCTTTAATCAAGAAAGAAGAACCAGTTAGAAATCTGCTCTGCTGAAGGCTCAGGAAGAGAAAGGGAACTATAGTAATTTCCTAATGTATGTCAGACATGTCACAGTCTTCATAACAAAAGTTTCTGTGAATTAAGCATTATGTCAATTTTTTGTGTATGAAAGTCTTACAAATTTAGTCTTATAAGTCAAATTCCTATGTAATTGTTGAATTTGAAATTAGAATTGTGAATATAAAATCCTTGCTCTTCCCTATAGTATGATCTTAAACTTGAGGTTATAAAACCCTGCCCTTGAGTCACGTAGTAGTGGAAATAGAGAAAAATAGATTGATAAAATGATAGAAATGAGACTAGCAATGTACTGATTGATAAGAAAGATATCTCTTACATGCTCAATTTTTCACTTTGTTCTTTGGCAGGTTCACATGGCTTTCAGGATAGCAAGAGCAGATTAGGACTGTGTCCTTACTTTTAAATAGTCATATAATAACTGAATCTGTACCACCCAGCTGAAAAACTGCTTTTCTGCCCATCGACTGTCTTAGCCAAGAAAACACATGACCACAATGCCCTATTCAAACAGGCAAGGCTCTTTACCTTTAGATGTGATGCGACCCGTAACCGGAGGGACGTCATTTTTGATGGCCTCGTTTACCTTTTCCTCATCAGCTCTTCTATAGTCCAGATCTTTTATTAGTCTTTGAATGGTAGAATGTTTCGTGGTGGGAAATTAATTGGTAGTGTTATACCATTTTAGTAATACTTGATCTTTTCCTTTTCAGTCCTTATTTGGAAAAAACTTGACAACAATTTTGAATGAATATGTAGCTATGAAAGCAAAAGGTAAAAAACTCAAAGTTCAGGGATTTTTTTTGTTTTGTCTCATTAGTTTTATATAGCATTTGCCTATTAGTATGTTTTGGAAAGTTCCTAATTAAAATATATCTCAAAGTCTTGAGAAAACTTTTCAGTTATGATGGCATTAATTTTACTAGGAAACATCTAGTTTATTTGTGTTTATATTGTGTAATACAAAAATTGTAAAAATCTGAATATTAACAAATATAAACAAAAATGAGACAACATAAAACTCTTTAACTCCAGATTATTTGCACTGCTGAGCAGGCATTGCTATGTGTTACAAAGTTTAAAGTCGTTTTAATTTTAACTTCTGTGTATGTAAGTCTGAACGCAGGAGCCAGTCATGAAATCCTGGCTCTTACCATATTTCCACCAAATAAGACCAGGTCTTACATTTTTGCTCCAAAAGACACAGTAGGGCTTACTTTGGGGAGATGTCTTTTTTTTCTTTTCATGTACAAAAATGCACATTTATTCAAATATAGTCATGTCATAATCTTCTGGAACATTGGCACAACCCTCCAAATCCCAGATTCCATCCTGAATTTCCTGTGGAACCACTGGCTCCAATCTGTGCTAAGCAGCATGATTGCTTAAATGAGCACTGCTTGTCCGTGTCGCCTGCACGTAGTACAGGGGCAGCACAGTGATTTTATCCCATGAATTCTTCACCCAGGCGTCAACCTTTTACAGGTTAAGCTTTAGTAACTTTTCATTAAATCAAGTGTGAATTGAAGATTTCTGAGACAGAAGTGGCAACAAAAATGATGACAGTAAAAAATAATGCCCTACCCAAAAGTGGCAAAAAACTGCAGGCACCAAGATGCAGAAAACGGTTACTTCACTTGAGTGCATTAAATACACCCATTACAACACACTACCTATTGAATTACGATGCTTCACATTAGACACAGTATATCCATTTGTTAGCAAGTGTGCATGTTACTCATGCATGTGTCTGTACTGTTGATTGGGCATTTGGCAATAAGTCTCAAGTTCATCTGTTTACATAGGCCTTTACCTCTTGTCCAAAGAGGCCTGCTTGGAAATTTACAGATACTTAATTAGATTTACATCATTATTTAAGTGTTAATGTCAGTACTATCATTTATTTATATGTTAATATTATTTTACAATTCAGTACCTCTGTCCCATATATTAAGTGCATCTGTCTGGGTGTCAGTCTTAACTGAGGGTTATTTTGGGGGTATGGCTTATATTATAAGCATCCTGAAAAATCATGCTAGTGCTTATTTTCCAGTTAGAGCTTATTTTGGGGGAAATATGGTAGTTACTAGAATGTAAAATAATACTTGCCTAAATTAACAGTGATTTAGAGGACTAATTCTGATGGTTTATTCTCTAATACTGTTTCAGTAGCTTACAGCATTTACTAATTAATGTTAAAGAATCAGCAGAAAGTAATAAGAATCAGAGAAAGTAAAAGGAATGAAAAAGTAATAACATGAAAGAGTTTAACATTATTAAATATTTATTGTTAAAAACTTTATAAGCATACTGCTAGATGCTCTCATATGTTTTATCTCATTTAATGGATAGCACCCCAGTGAGAGGTATTGTTTATACCTATTTTAAAATCAGGGTATTGATTAAATTTCAACACTTACAAAGGGTAAATGTTGAAAGACTTTATGATAAGTAAGTGTTCAAAGACTTTATGATAATTATTGTTCTAAAACGTTGTAATTCACCTCCAAATATCATAGGATATCAGAACAAAGATAAAAAAAAGTAGTTTATTGTCTTACTAGTCCCAAAAAAGATATGAAATTATGGGCCTTACCAAAAAAAAGCTGCTTAATTTACATGGGTGTCCATATCCACTCATGTCATATCTAGTATACAGTGGCTAAAAAAAAAACAGAAGCAAGCGCCTCCCTTGACCATTTTTTAAACAGGCTTTTCAGTTCACAAAATAATGTCAGTAACAGAGAGAGGTTTTTCTTTTATTGTGATTTTCTGTGTCTTTGTTCAAATTGAGTGATGAGTTTTCTCCAACTGAGTTTATTTCCTCTTATAATTTAGAAACATCAAATGATGTCCCAGCAATAATGTCATCTCTGTGGAAGAAGTTAGACCATACACTTTCTCAGATCAGGTACTAATTAAAATGTCCATAATGACTTCGGAATGCAAGTACACTTTAAATCCTTTTATTGAGTACATAGTATAATTATGTTAACACCTAATTGATTTATTCTAGAGGTTTTTGGTGTTTCATTGTCTTTGGTTGGAATAATTTGAGAAAAATTCCATCTCTCTCTCTCTTTTTTTCTTTTTGGTAGTGGTTCAAGGGATTGAACCCTGTCTTATTTTCTGGGACACAGTACTCAACACCACCTACAACTTAAAGGAGTAGAGGTTTATTTGATTCAAAATTTGTAGAGATTTTAGTCTATAGGCAGCTGGCTCCAAGACAAGGCAGCGTGGCAAAAGAGAAGCAGCTCATGGCCTGGCCAGGAAGCAGAGAGAAATCGAGGGAGGAGGGAAAGACACCCTTCCGGGCCATGCTAGCACTGACTCACCTCTTCCACCAGGCTTCACCTCCCGACATCACATTTAGCTGTTAAGCTCATCCGTGGACTAATCCACTGATGAGTGTCATGCCTCCATGAGCCAGTCACCTAAAAACCTCAACTGTGAACTCATGAAGCTTTGGGGAGGCATCTAGATAAGAACCGTAACAAACAGAAAGCTTTTGCGTTGAGCTGTACCACCAACTCATTTTTATTTTGAGGCAGAGTTGCTCCGAAGTTGTCAGGTTGGACTCACTACCTCGCCTCACCTCTTACAGTGGCGACGTTACTGGCGTGCACCATTATGGTCAGCTGAAATAATTTACATTTTAACAAAATATTTACAGAGGAAGAAATTGAGGCATATAAAAAATGCTTAATGACATTCCCAAGATTTTTGTAGCAACTTAGAGGCAGATCTTGGACTGGAATGTTTCTTATCCTAGTCCATTATCAGTTCTCTTAAACAGCTGCCTTTTTTTTTTATTCCTATTCAAAGAATGAATATGTTGAACTCAGGCCCAGTTGATGCTGCCCTTGTTAAGAAATAAACTTGAATAACGCTACTTCTGTAATCTTTCTTTAGAATTTTCCCATGATGCCTTCTGCGTAGTTAGCAGCCTTGAAATGCCAGTTTCAGCATTATTGGTACCAATTTTATAAGATCTCGTATTTGACTGTGGAGCCTATTATGAAAATCATAGTTTCTTAGCTTTTCACCCAGAAATACAGTGACTTATCTAACTTAAGCAGAGCTTCGTTTTCTTCTCATAAACTGCTGTAATGGCACCAAGTGCTTTTACCCTAAGCCTGGACTACACTTACATTTGTTAATCTTATCTTTATGTTTCACTTTCCTCATTTATCTTTCCTGTCTTTGCAGATAATTTAAAAGTATTCACATTTTAGTATTTATAAATACCGTGTATTTTACTGAGATAGTTTATTGATGGAATTTTACATAAATAGAAAGGATTCTTCTCTTAACAGTACTGTGATTGAACCGAGGACTGTCACACTAAGCCCCAGCCCTGTTTGTTTATTTTGAGACAGGTTCTCACTAAGTTGCCCAGGCTGGACTCAAACTTGTGATCCTCCTGCCTTGGCCTCCCAGTGTGCTAGGATTGTAAGTGTGTGCCACCATGCCTACCCAAAAAAAAGATTTTTAGCCAAGTTTTCTCCTAAGTTGTTTTATGTATCTTTAAAAGTAATACAGTCAACTAAGTTTTGTGGCTCTTTTTGGTGGAGACTTAATTGACAGATACTCTTAGGACAAGGGCATAGTGTCTATGACTGCTTACCAGATACTAGCTAGGTAATTACAATGCATAGTAAAAGAATTAGCTTGCACTTTGAGATTTCCTGTTTGCTTTTCTCTTTCCTTAGAGTTTGGGAAAGATAATCTCATAGTCACTTGCCATGAAGTTAGAGATTCTGAAGTATTGATGTATGTGAAATCAGTTTCTTTTTGGAAAAGCCTCTGTGAATTAAGAAATATAATTGAAACTATTATACTTCATATAGCTTACTTAATATTTTCTTAAAGTCAAAGCACTCTAATCCATATTGAATTGGATGGAAACATCATTACTAAAATTATGTTGTGTAAATGTATTTATATGCCACTCTTTTTCTCCTACTACAAAGCAGAATTGGTTACCAAGACAATTTAAGTCTTTTTTGTTTTTGTCTTAGAAAGGTTCATCACATTTTTACTCACAATTTACGTAACTAAACCAAAAAGTATCTCAGTGACAAAAATTTTCAATAAACTACTTTGTTTTATTTGTTAGGAGCATGCAAAGTTCCCCGGGGTTGGCTGCCAATCAGAGAGGTTGGTATTCAACTTGAAACAACATTGAGAATCATTCCAAACTTTGTCTGGTGAACATTTTAGTTAACATAAATGCTGGGTATTTGTTTTGTTGAAACTACCTTTTTGCCAAGTATAATTATTATCCTGCTAGGAAATACTCTTTTATCACTTTATATGTATGTAAAAAATGTACTCCCTATATTCTTCCATTGGTTCTCATTTAGTACTGTCTTTTAATTCTCATTTTACAGTTTTAGATTTCTTTGTGATAGTGTTAGCAATGTGAATTATTACAGAACAGTTGTACTGCTGAATTTATAGTTGCGAAATTACTGAATAAATTTGATTTTTTTTTTTTTTGTACCAGAAATTGAACTCAGGACCTTGCACTTGCCAGACAGGCACAGGGCCGCTGAGCTATATCCCCAGCAAATTTGATATTTTAAGAACCATCTTTTCATTCTTTGGATCTAATATTATATAGTACTATGTATAGGTCATTCATTGTTGTGACATTAATCCCAAACTACTCTGACATTAATTTTAATGCTTGTGTATTTGCAGTCCGAACAAGAAATGGAATTGCAGAAATCAAACGGCAAAGAAGGCTTGCATCTCAAGCAGCTCCTGTCAGTTCAGATTTGCTGATTTTACCTTATGTTTCAGCACAATTCACTACTGCTCCTTTGACCGCTGCGCAGCCTGTCCAACCAACTAGCCAAATTTCAACCCCAATGAGGTCAAATTTTGTAGTCGTCAATCACTCCCAGTCACAAGATACTGTAACTAGTAAGCTTAAATTTTGTTTCTTTAGTTTTACTTTAAATTATATAAATGAGATGGTCTGCTAATGTCTCTATATTATAGTATAGAATTATGACCAAAGAGATGAGCAAAGCTTGACATGGGACAGACTTGAAGTAGCTCTGCCACAAAATAAAATCTAGGAGTCATTTTATTCTAGAGTTCTTCATATTTCTAAGCTAATTGAAATCTAACCTTGAACTCTCATTTTGTGTTAGATTTGTGTTAGATTTTACATAGGATATATATTATATTTCACCATATCCTTAGCTTTGTTGTACCCATCTGTATTAATGGAATAAGGAATGTCTCTTTCCGGTATACCTCCATCTCTACTTGTTGAAGGTATATATTTCTGGCTTAGTCTTAAAGCAAGAAATAAACATAAAGACTACATGGTATATCTTGCTTGTATATTTGTTGTAAAGGGGAAATGCATGGTGTAGTATGAGGTAGAAAGCTAGTTAATAATGGAGTTGGAATTAGAATTTAGGGGGTTAATACACACAGTACATAGCCCAGTCTTCTGTGTAACCAAAATTAGTTGCCATCCATTAAGAGCTCTCTCGTTTCCATCTTTTCCACCCTCAAAACACTTTTTTTCTTGTGCTTCTTCGTTCTGCCATGTATTTTATATTTTATTGTAAAGCCTTAAAGCATTCACTGTTTGGTTAATATTAATATCTTGTACGGTGCCTTCCACGTAGTAGGTTCCCAATAAAGTTTTATTGAATTTCATATAAAAATAATCAGTAGAGGTTAGCCAGGTGTGGTAGTACACACCTGTAATCCCAGCACTCAGGTTGCTGAGGAAAGAGGATCACCGAGAGTTTAAGGCCAGCCTGGCCTACATAGTGAGTTGAAGTCCAGCCTGAATTACATAGTGAGATCTTGTCTCAACAAACAAAACAAAACAAAAAACAGAAAAAGAAAAAAATAAATAAATATATACACACACACATATACTGCTTCTTGCCACATTAAAGTTTAGATTCCGTTTCCTTAGCTCACTGTTTTGTTTTCTTGAAATACAGCTGGAGAGTCTTTAAATATCGTTCCTGGCCCCCAAGAAAAGAAATCACAGGCCAGTTTAATGTCACCTGGTAGGCGTAAAAGGTAAATGATTTTGATCAATGATATGTTGCCAATACCATTTAAAACACACAAACAAAAAAAGAATTATAACAGGATATTTACATACTGAATACAGTTCTTGGAACTGCGTACTGATACTAACTTCAGAAGACATTATTTTTTCTTACATGATAACCTGAAATTGAGTTGCGTCCCTTAGTAAATGCTGTATCACTGTTTCATTAAATAGTTCTTTTTTCTTTGATGGTACATGAAATAATTGTATGTCTTATAATTGATGTTATCTCAGGTACTTCACAATATGTGCTTTTTAAATGCACTTAAATAGTACCAGTATATTTTATGGTTCACAAACATACATTTTAAGTTTTAAAATAATTTATATAACCTTTTCAGGAAGTTTTTGAAAGAAAATTCTTTCTATCCTACTTTGCTAGTATCTCTGTCTGGACAGTTTTTCAGGAAAAAAAGGGAAGTAAGAATTTACTTTTTTTTTTTTTTTTTTTTTTTTTTTTCCCTGATTTTTCACCTGCCAACACATGGGTTGTGGTTTTGGGTGGGGTTTTTTTTTTGTTTTTTGTTTGTTGTTTGTTGTTTGTTGTTTTTTTTTTTAGTTTTTATGGTTATTGCTAATTAAGGCTTACTTTACTACAAACTTTCTTATTATGAGCTTTCTCACTTAGTAAAAGTCTGCAAATACAATTTTATTCCAATCTTCTCTAAACACAGTAATGTGTTTGGCCTTCTTTTATTTTAAAAGGGTCATAGAGTCACAGTTTATATATTTAAGACTGTATAGCTAGTAAGTAATAAAATTAGATCTCAAATTTAGTTTTTGTTAGTCCAAGTTTGTTAATTTTTTCTATTCTGTTTTGTTTGGTTCACACTAAAAGAGAGAACATACCTAGTCTACCAAAATGATCTTAAAGTTTATGTCTGGTAGTTACCATTGAATCTGTTAGACATAGTAGTGAAAAGATAATCTTTTTAAATGTGTTTCAGTGAATCACAAAGGAAAACTATTACTTTGTCTGGGCCTCACTCAACAATACGGAATTTCCAGGACCTAAATACATTTGCAGTAGAAAAAGTAAGTGACCTTCCCAAACTTTACAATTTGAAATACGCCTAAGTTTAAAAATACTGACAGTTACACAAATGTGTACATGCATGTGTATGTGTACACTAAACACAGTTATTTTGAAAGATTGCAGTGGAATTGCCTTGGGATAGTAGGTAGGTGTCTATGGTTACTTTTCTCTCGTTACTGGGACAAAATACCTGACATCCAAAATTAAGGAAGGGAAGTTTTATTTAGCTCACAGTTTGTGGAGGTTTCAGTCCATACTCAGCTGGCTCCAAGGCACAGTGGCACGTGGCAGAGGGCAACAGTTCATGGCAGCAGAAAACAGCAAAAGCAGCAAGAGCAAAAAGGGAGGAGTAGCAACCAAGCCTCTTTTCCTCCCTTATATTGTTTGCAAACTACCTGCCCTAGGACAGGTGTAGCACTCATACCCATAATCCCAGCATTGAACCATGGATCAATTATAAACTCTAGAAGCCTGCCCCATGACTGCATGAGGCTTTGGGGGACATCTAGACACACACCATGACAGTAGGGATGTGTAATTCTAGGAGGCAAAATACTCAGAATAGATATGGACAGTGCACAAAAGGAAGGAATATTTGTATATTAAGAAACTGCAAATACTTTGCTGTTGCTGATTTTTTCAGTATAATAGATTATTTTATTAGAGTCAGGATACTTAAAAATTTTTATAATAAGGTAAAATGTGGAACTATTTTCTTTAGGCAATGAAGAAAGAGGTGGTGAAAGATCTGTGAAAAAAATTTTCAAATGTTGTTTTCAAGTGTTAACATGGAGGGGGAACTACCACAACTAAGCCACTACTTAGACTGATTGAAACTATTTAGCTTCCAATGATTGGGGTTTTATTATGTATTTTAAGACACGTTCCAACTATATTGCACACACTGGTTTCAAATTCCTGGGCTCCTGGTCCTCCCACTTTAGCCTCCTACATAACTGGGACTTCTGCAGCTGACTGAGATGTTTTTTTGTGTGTGTGATGATTGTTTTTGAGTAAGTTATGTAATACTCTTTCCTATCCTTACTTAATATTGACTTTCTTTTCCAGCAAATGGTTATTGAAAATGCACGTGAAAAAATACTAAACAACAAATCTCTTCAAGAAAAGCTTGCAGAAAACATTAACAAATTTTTGACTAGGTGAGTTGTATTTTTAAAACATTCGATTGTTTTTGCCTAATTGCATAATTATGCTAGATTTTCCTTTCTGTATTACAGTGATAACAATATCACTCAAGTACCCAAGCAAACAGATAGCAACGTTGCTGAACCAGAAGCTTCAATTGATGAACTCCTAGGACTTCCGGTATGAATATGGGGTGTGTGTGGGTAGGGAGTATTTATACTGATAGTTACAATTGATGATACTTTGGTTTTATTTAAAAACTATTGCCCAAAAAGATTTGATGTATATGATGTAGCTGGGTATGGTGGCATACACCTGTAACCCCAGCACTTGGGAAGCCGAGACAAGAGAATCACCATGAGTTCGAGGCCAGCCTGAACTGCACAGCAAGACCCTGTCTCTAAAAATAAAAACAAAACAAAAAGAGCCAGATAAAAGAAGATGTAGCTTCCCTTAATTCCTAAATTACCCAAGTGTAATTTGTTTCTGAGCACATTTTGATAGTGACTTTTCAGAGTTAGTTTATATTTTATTATTTAAGTAGTAAAAGTAACAATATCTTTCTGATTCACCTAATAGCTGACAAACTTTACCAGGTTATCACTAAACCTCATTTATACTCATACAAACAGCAGTTTTGGATTTTTAAGTAATACTTAACAATTTGTAGTATGTTTTTGGTGTATAATAAATGACAGTACTGTGCAGTGTTTAGTACGTTTCTCCTACACTGCTACGAACTGTATAATAATTTAAAGAAATGATGAAATACTGTGTTAAATGAAGCCAAGAACTACTTAAAGAGTTACTGACCAAATGAATAATTGTATATGTGAGGCGTACTGCCAAGAGAAGAGAAGTAGGAGTTAGATCCCTGTTGGTGCTCAGTGCTGGTGAGTAAGAGTTGATAAAGAAGGAACTTAACACAAAATGTGTTTGTTTTTTTCTTTTTTCAGTTTTGAGACAGGGTCTCCCTCTGTAGTTTAGACTGGGTTTGAACTCACTGTGGAGCCCAGGCTGGCCTCAAATTTAAAAATGATCCTCCTGCTTTAGCCTCCCAAGTGCTGGGATTGTAGGTGTCATGCACCACTGTGCTCGGCAATATATGTTTTAATATTTGTCCATGCATAGCATGCATTTGAAGAGCAGCCAAGTATGTAGTTGTCGCGTATCCTTTTACTTGTAATCTTGGACAGTGTAAGCATTTTGTTAGCATTACTGTGTGAGTTCATTATAGCAGGCTTTTTATCCAATTGATAAATTCTGGGTAAAATCAGTGATTTTTTTTTTTTTTTTTTTTTTTTTGCCATATGCCAGCTCTACCAGTAATTCCTTTAAAAAGCTCTTCTTATCTTAGCTAACAAATATATATCTGTGCTAGGCTTTTTTTTGTACTCTCTAAACTCATTGCTATGTTGTCTTCACAAAATTATCAGATGCTTAATGTAGTTAACGGCACTCATCAGTAGTGTCTTTACAAGAAAGTAAAGACATGCTGGGCATAGTGGCACATGCTTGTAATCCCAAAACTCAGGAGGCTGAAGCAGAATTTCCAGCCTAAATCAGAGTGAGACCCTATCTCAAAAACTGGAAAAATAAAAAGACACAATCTTCCGCTTTTGGTTATTCATACTGTTGTGTACAGTATTTGTGAAAAGTTTAAATTCAGGTTTTTAAAAAAAAATCAGGTTTAAATAACAGTTTTTAAAACAGAGGGGATTTTTTAAAAACACAAAAGAACAAAGTAGTCTCAGTTTGTAAGCCAGTAAAAGGAAGGCAAATTTGTAATCTAGAGTAGCACTTGTACTTTTGAAAGTAAATAGTAAATAGTAAAGCTACAAACATGATGACAAATTGCAAAATTTGGAGAGTAAACGCCATATCTTTTCCCCAGTCCTTACCGTCTCCCAGAAGTAGCACTGTCAGTCATAAACTCCCAGCAAAAGAATCTGACTTGCTCAGAAGAAAAGAACTGAAAATACATGGTTCTGTAAGATTATTCTACCACTTAGATTGTACTTCAGAATCTCGCTACCTTCCTTTGGTCCATTAGTCCAGAGCTTGCCAGGTAGCCTTTGGCGTGCTACTCCTGCAAGAAGAGCAGATAAGTAATCCTTGTTAAACATGAGAAGGAAGCACTTAATGTAAAGACACCAGATACATAATTATATTTGTACTGAAGAATCCATAAAGCATTATGTGAAGAAAACCTCACAATAATGGTCACTGTAGAGAATAATTTTATTTGTTTTTATATGCACAGATAATTGCTATGTTCATTTTATTTTAATGTTTAGGAATATGTTCACCAAAGTGATTAACTCTAGGAAGTAAAATTAAGGAAAATTGATCTTTTACTTTTTAGTATTATTTTATTTTCCTTATTGAGCATATTGTTACACTTAAAATCAGAAGAAATTTTCTTGAAAGGGAGTGCTTCAACATAAAAATTCAGAGATATCAAATGTCTGATAATTTTTTTTTGGTATTCAGTATTGATCGAATTAAAAGCGTGTCTTCAATTCATGATTGCAGAGTGAAATCCACATGTCTGAAGAAGCGATACAAGATATACTGGAACAGACAGAATCAGACCCTGCATTTCAAGCACTGTTTGATTTGTTTGACTATGGTAAGTAGACCAGTTTCTTCAAGACAGGGACAAGAAAATGGTCTTTTCCAGTCTCTTTGGTAACTGCACCAGAGTGAGGCAACATTACTCAGAACATTTGAAATGGGTGCTATTTCCTTAAGCCAAGCATTTTATGGATATTTAAAGGAGTTTTTGTTTTTATTTTATTTTTACTTAAACATCAGCTATAAAAGTAGAAAATAGTGTGCGGTTTTTTATTTTTATTGGCATTTTGGAGCATCAGAATTCATTGAGGCGTACTATAAGACAGATAAATATAATTAAATAATATAAAAGGAATACAATATAATGACAGTTGCTCACAATCCTATGTTCTAGTACAATATTTTTCCCACTGTAGTCCTCTAAGCGAGCAGTACCAACATTATCTGAGAAGGTGCTAACTATGGAACTTCTTGGGCCTTCCAGAAGATCCTAATACAGGCTCAGGTTTAAGAACCACCAGTACTAGTCAGGCACCGTGGTGTGCCCATATGCAGACCAGAACAGAATTGCGAGAGCCCAAGGGTCTGAGACTGGCCTGGGCAACATAAGTAAGTGAGACTGTTTCAAAGGAACGGTCTGGTGGGGAAATCCGTCTCTTTGCACTTGTAAATGACATACAAAGCAGCATATTAAAAACATCCAGCAAACCATAATTAAGACCAAAGTTTAATATTTGACCAGTAGTAGTAATTCATGCTTGTTTCCATTTTAATTATTTCCCTGTTCTCTTTTTAACAGGTAAAACAAAGAACAGTAAAAATATATCACAAAGCATTTCTAATCAGCATATAGTTTTACCCGAAGAAGCAAATCTAGTGGTTAAAAGTTCTTTTGAAATACAAGAATCTGGTAAGAACTTGATTTTGTTATCATTAATCAAAATGTTAATAGTAGTGTCAATTCAAAGGCACAAACTGTTGTTTAAATTCGAAGTTCAAATTACTACATGGGTCAGTTGTATATATCTAGTTTTCTCTCCATTAAGCAAAGTTACTTCCAAGTCTTTGATATCTTCAAAGGTGAATTTGTAATAGTCTTTATAGTGCTGTATAAAGATCTGTAAGGCTCATATGTGATGTCATTCAGTCTAGTGAATGTAGCTCACGGAGCACCTGTTTCATTTGTGTAGGGGACATTATGTAGCATAGTGGTAGATTTGAATGTGAAGATGTGTGACTTTTAAGTTGTATCTACTATGTCCACTAAGTCACTGCTTTGCAGCTCTGTCTGTCATAGCATGCCCATGTGAGAGCCTGTAGGAGCCATTTACTGAAAGAAGGAAAGCAATAAATAAAACCATCTCAGAGTTTTGAAATACATTCCAATTTTTAAAGAACTTACTCTTATTTTAATATAACAGACCAGCACAGAAGTACACAATAAAAATGAATTGGCTCAGCCGGCTGTGGTGGCTCACATCCTGTAAACCAGCACATGGGAGGCCGAGGCAGTAGAATCTCTTGAGAGTTTGAGGCCAGCTTGGGCTACATAGTGAGTTGAAGTAAAGTCTCAACTACATAGCAAGACCCTGTCTCAAAAAAAGCTAACAAAGAGTGTGTGGCTGATTGAAATAACAAACCAAGCAAGTAATATACCCAATTTTCTTCTTAGGCTGAACTGTCCAGGGTGCACGTGTTTCTCTCTACATGCTATGTATAAAAGATTGTGCTTCATTTGAGCTCCACGCTGCACGAGACAAAACTTGGAATTCTCTTTTCTCAGTGTTTTTTCACTGCTCTTGCCAGCAATGGTGGTACACCTCTAAGTACCGGGGAGGCTGAAGCAGAGGGACCACAAGTTTGAGGGCAGCCTGGGCCACTTAGTAAGACCCTCAAAATAGGGGCTGGGGATTTAGCTCAGCGGCAAAGCGCCTGCCTGGCAAGCGCAAGGTCGTGAGTTCGGTTCCCGGTACCAGAAAGAAAAAAAAAAAAAAAAGACCCTCAAAATAAAAAGGGGGTGTTGCTCAGCGATAGAGTGCGTGGCTAACACATGCAATGCCCAGGGTTCAAATCAGTCTCCAAGACCCCCTCCCCAAACACATTTGCCTCCCTAAAACTTACATGGCCTCAACTGATTTCCCTCTTCTCCCCAGCAATAAGGATTTGAATGGCTGTATACCCATTTTTACCAGGGTCATAGCTTTTATAGTGTTTGGTATACTTTTTTGTGGGTTTTCCCTATATTTTCTCATATTTGTTCAAGTCAGTGTTTTGTGCCCTAAGTTGTCAATACCTTTTTCAATGCTGTTTTGTTTTCTGAGATACCCTTTCCTCCTACTCTAACTGTAATATTTCCCTTATTTTTCAAGATCACCTCCTTGTAACATTTTTTTTTATTCCATAAGTGGAGAAAGGTTCCTTTCGTTCCTGTTGTTTTCAACATTTGTTGTAACGTCGTGTTCTGTGTCTGCTTAAATCTCTGAAGGGTCAGGGAGGATAAGCCCAGTTTAGTAGTACACACTTGTAATCCCTGCACTTGGGAGCCTGAGGCAGGAGGGTTGCTGCGAGTTCGAGGCCAGCTTGGACTGCACAGTAAAACTCTGTCTCAAAAGACAAAAAAAAAAAAATCAGAAAGTGGATCAGTTATCTTCGTATTGTAGTACTGTGCATATATCGTTGGCCTTCACTGAATGTGTGTTGACTGTTAAACAGTACGCATAGTTCAAATATTGATGATGCAAAGGACATCACATAGAATGAGGTCAGTAGAAAGGGTGGAAGTAGAAAAGTTAATGTAGTGAAACAACTCTGCTCTTATTGGAGCCAATTTTTGTTTTACCTATTAGTAAATATTATATGTTCTTAAACCTCTATACTTTTTCCTTCATTATGTCATCTGTTTACTAAGAATGGAGTACTTGTTTAAAAAGACATCAGTAATTAGAAAAGTTGTCATGGGTATTTATGACATACACAGAATGGGCAATACAGTGTGTTGGACTTCTACTTACTGTTATGCTGAAACTTTGTATTTCATGGACAAAATAGGTTTTATAGTACAGATGACTGCTCAAAAACTAAATATACTGATATTTTTGATCATGATCCTGATATTTTGCAGATGGTCAACCTGGTCAGCCTGCTTGTCCGTCCTATGAAAATGAAGATGCACTAAATGTTTTAAAGGATGGCGGAAACCAAGAAGTGCTTAGACAGCAAGCCCAGGAAGATTTTTTCCAAATAGACTGTGGCATCCAGAAAAAGTCCATTAAAACAGTAGCACCTACAGAACAGAAGTGTGACCTTGATATTACCTTTGAGTCTGTGCCTAATTTGAACGACTTTAACCAAAGAGGAAATTCTCATGCTGAATGTAATCAGCATTGTACTGAATTATACACCAGTCAGATCCCTCCTGAAACTGAAAGGGCCATGGAGGTTGGAAAGAATTCTTTGTCTCCAAATGTGGCCAGTGAGTCTCAGTTACAGCCTGAACAATCTGACCTACCAGTAACTTCGTTTGTTACACTTGGTGGTGAGGTGAACAATGAAAACTTAATTCTCTCTGGGAAAAGTTCTCAACTTTTGTCTCAAAATACTCCCCTAACTGGAAATCCATCTAAAAATAGTCAGTTTTGTGAAAGTCTTAACAATACGGTAAGACTTAAAACTAATTTCCATAGTTCCACATTACCAGATTCTAGTGAAATTCAAAAGAATAAAATTGAAATAAATAATGTACTACCACTTGTGTCACAAGAGCTATCAGGTTGCCAGGAGAATTCTTCACTTCAAAATAAAATAATACCTGTGTCTGTTGAAAATTCAGCTTTACATGTATCTGAACAGCAAATAGAAATTCGTCTTGAAGATTCAGTCTCTTCAGTTAAACAACCATATAATGATTCCACAGTTACTGAATTAAGTCATGCAGAAAGTGAAACTGAGCCACACAAGTCTGACAAAGCTACTTTGGATTCACAGGAGCCTTCATCTTCCGTAAAAGGAGGAGATAACATTTTTCTTTCTTTAGGTAGAACTGACAGCTGTGAGGACATTGCAGTGATACCTCCGGAAGGTAACTCTTTAAAAAACAGCCAGTCTCTTCCTTCAGAACCGGGGTGTTCTTCAGTGGGAGATTCTCACTCTGAGTCCCGGAATCCTGGTGATAAACCTTCCAGTGACAGCTCTGCAGAGATAGATGCTTCCAGTATTGTCTCCCTCAAAATTATCATTAGTGATGATCCCTTTGTTTCCTCGGATACTGAACTGAACAGTGCTGTGTCTAGTATCAGTGGAGAAAACTTGCCAACTATCATTTTATCTTCTCCTGCTAAATCACCTGCCAAAAATGCAGAATTAGTTAAAGGGCTGTCTTCAGAAGAAACTGCGGGTTCTGCTGTATCTGCCGAAGTAGAGGATTCAGCCTCAGTGGAACAGAGCCTTTTAACACTCAAACCTGAGGACTCTGCAGTAAGTAACACTCAGAGTGAAGACGGCACTGCTTTCTCAGCCGGTGTCACACCGTGTGTTTCCAAGGAAGGAGGGTTCATACAGTTGATGCCAGCCACAAGCACAACTTTTGGCAACTCAAATAACATTCTGATTGCTACCTGTGTGACTGATCCAACAGCCTTGGGAACAACTGTCAGTCAATCTAATGTTGTGGTGTTGCCTGGAAATTCTGCACCTATGACTGCACAAGCTCCTCCACCGAAGTTACAGACACCACCAAGATCAAACAGTGTATTTGCTGTCAACCAAGCTGTGTCACCGAACTTTTCACAAGGTAACTTTAAGAACATATTTGAACCTGTAATCCAAGCACTTGGGAGGCTGAGGCAGGAGGATCTTGAGTTTGAGGCCAGCCTGAGCTACATAGTGAGACCCTGTCTCCAAAAAAAAAAGTGGAGATAAGCGGGGGATATGACTGTATGGTTGAGTACCTGCCTACCATATGCAAGGCCATGAGTTCCATCCCCAGTGCTGCAGAAGAAAAAGGGGTTGGGAGCATGTTGAAGCCGTTGGCAAGGAGATTAAAAACGTGTATATATTTTATGAGAAGGTACACTTGAAATCTGTAATTACACTTCCTTCTTGTGCTGGCTAATTAATTCAGTCAAATCTTTGCTAAGCCATAGGCTTAAATAGTTGAATTTTTGTTTTTTTTCCATAGTTCTTTTTCACGTACGTGTTATTTATGCTACTGAAAGGATAAGAAAGACTTGATTCTTCACATAGCCGTACCTAATAAAACCCAGATGTTATGGGAGAATTTCTTAAAATAGTTGTTGTACCTGTAGGTTTCAAGGACTTTGTCATCTGTTTAGAGAGACTTTCAAAAACAACCTGAATTTCTTCCTCCATAAAATGTGTAATTTTTCACTGCTTTACTTCTTCTGGAATTGATTCCAGTCTTTACACTCCTTTGTTTAGAGGGTGATCTTGTGGCATTTTATTACATTCTGTTTTATAGCAGTGATTAAAATGCCCATTACATTGGTCATTGATCATATGCTCCTCAGAGGTGAAGCTTACATCTGCATTTCTATATTACTGTTCTTTTCCCCTGCCCACCTTTTCACGTTTCAAGCATACATTAAAGTCTGATTAAGCCAGGGACATAGCTCAGTGGCACAGTGCCTGCCTGGCAAGCGCAAGGTCCTGAGTTCAATTCCCAGATAGATAAGATAGATATGAGATAGATAAGATTAGATAGATGAGATAAGATAGATAGGAGATAGATAAGAGATAAGATAGGATAGATCCTGAGTTGGATTCCCAGTTCAGTAAATACCTACCTACCTACCTACCAGCCAATCATGGATGAAAAGGTTTTATAAAAATCTGATTAAACATTAACAGTCAAGTATTAAACTTGAAGAGTCTGTTTCAAGTGCTGTTTTGAGGAGCTAAACGAGAGGTCAGAATTGGTACAAATATGGAGCTTAAACTAGAGCTTAGAGAAATAAGGTAGGGTTTGGAGAGAAGAGAAGTCCTCACAGCCAAGGGAACCAGCGTAAACATGCACAGGTATTTGAGAGACGGCAGGAAGAGAACCTAAAAGTGAAGAGATCAGCCCAACAGGAAGAGTATATTCAAAAAAGTTCACTTGCAGAACAGGACTGAAGTATAGTAGTTGGCTGTGGCTGACTTGTAGGGACCTCGTAACCACCCTGATTTCTCCTCGCTGATTTTTGCTTGTTCTGTGCCCTTTGGACCAGTGCCACTGAGACAGAAGACAGGGTTATGAACAGGGTCTTTGGCTACAGTCATGCAGTTAGGACCCTTTCTGGTACAGAGTTCATACGCAAATTAGTTCCTTTATTCTACAGGAATCAAGATGGAGTTGTAATACATTCTCCTAGCTAAGGGCTAAGAGTCTTACCCTCAGCCCTGATGGTTGAGCATGGCTGAATACCTTAGTACCTTCATATTCAGGTTGGCTTTCTCTCGGCTATGCTGCTGTTCTTAATGAGTATTTTTTAAAAGGAAAGTAGATTATAAAGAAAAGTAATGCATAGAGTTCATTAGAGTACTAAGTATTTTATGCCAGAAGATTTGAGAGAAAATCTTACGTTAATGAGAATTGTTTTTCAGGTTCTGCCATTATAATTGCTTCTCCGGTCCAGCCTGTACTTCAGGGAATGGTGGGAATGGTCCCTGTGTCTGTGGTTGGACAGAGTGGAAATACCTTTCCTGCACCACCTCAGCAGGTAAGATTCATGAACTAAGAGTGGTGTACTGGCTGGGGATTTAGCTCAGCGGCAAAGCACCTGCCTGTCAAGCGCAAGGTCGTGAGTTCGGTTCCCGGTACCGGAGAAAAACCAAAAAAAAAAAAAAAAAAATTTACTTGAAGAGTGGTGCGCTGAAGCTTGCCTAACGGTAATGAATGGCGTCTTCTCTTCTAGGTCCTCCACATGCCTTTGGCAGCACCTGTGTGCAGCAGAAGTATCCCTCAGTTCCCCATTCCTGCAAAATCTCAGAAGGCTCAGGGGCTGCGAAACAAGGCTTGTATAGGTACCGTTTCTTTACGTTACCGATGTCAGCTTTATGTCTGTGTTCATCCATCTTCAGCAACACCTGAATGTTTTCCTTCTGAATACTTAACTATTCCTAACTAATGATCATCTTACCTTAGCTTGAAGTATTACAATATAGATGTCACAAGGCAGCCAATTCTATTATTGAAGAGTTTCACTTCTGATAAAGTTGTTTCTAGTTATTGACTCTTAGTTTTTGCCTGTGGGACCTTGTTTCTTCTTTGGTGTTCCTGAGATAAGCATGATCCCTCTTTCCTGAATGTTTGAGTGTTTGGTAAATGGCTTGTATATTTGTATGAGACTTCAGAGCAATACATCTCAAATTTTAATATGTACACATACTACACATAAAATGCAGATGCTAAATTAATCGGAGTGGCTTAGGGCCTGAGGTTCCATATTTCTAGCAAGCTCATGTACTGCCAGTGCTCCTGGTAGAGCACACTTCGAGTAGCATGGCTTCAGTCTGTAGATTGTCTTCTTTTGTTCCTAGTCAGTGGCCATGTCAGAAGCCCAGGAGTCACTCTTAACACACATTTCTTAGTACGAATACTTTTCAACTAAGTTGTATCAGTGTTGTCCTAATCTAGTCCCCCTTCTTGTTGTCTCTGCTTACTTGTGCCTTTTTCCCTCCTCAAATACAAATGTGAATGTGTTGATTCCCTGCGTAAAAACCTGGAACTCATTGCTCACAGGGTAAAACTGAAATTCCTCGGGCTGGGTAACATACACACTTGCCAGCCTCTCCATTTTCAGCCCTTACCAGTTGCCAGCACGGACTGTGCACCGGCAGCACCCGCTGTCCATCTTATACTTGGTCTTGTCTTATCTTCTACAAATGTTACTTCCTCTTCTCAGAATTCTCTGTTCTCATCCAACTGTCACCCTTGATCCGCTTTTGATCCTTCAAACGTAAAAGTAGTTTTATCCTAGGGAGCTATTTTTATCCTAAGGAGCTATTTTTATCCTAAGGAGCTATTTTTAAGCAGTGGCTGAGGTGGGTATTCCACTTTTTCTTTCTTATCTATGCTCCAGCACTTATCAGATTACATTGTGAATGTTTGTTTTTACTAGTAAAGTGTTTTACAGACAGTGGTATACAGAGAATTCACTGAATGTTATGATCAGTTCAGTTTTTCTTTATGCTAAAGGTTACCCATCTATTAATTTGGACTTCAGTTGTGTATTGATTTACTGGCACCCTGTTACACTTTGTCTCATTCTAGCAGTCCTACATTATTTTTCTGTTCCTTCTCTTACCTTGTTTGTTCCTTTTAATGACCATCGGAAATCCACCATTTGCATAAACCTATAAGTGGACTTTTAGGGTGTTTTTATAATAATATGATGAACACTTCTGTAGATGGCGTCTTTGTGGGCCTATATGAGTATGTTTGGGGCATATACCCAGGAGTAAATTTAATTTTCTTTTCTTTTTTTACCCAGGAGTAGATTTTTTTGAATCATAGAGAAGAATTCACTCTTTCATTATTGTCTTTACCCATGACATTGCCTGTGCTCAATACCATGTAATATTTAACTTTTATCAGTGTGACAGTATGAAATAGAACCGTAGTGTCTTATTTCATTTTGCATTATTATAATCACTAGTAAGGTTCAGAATCATCTCTTACAGGTAACTAATATTTCCCTTGCTATGAATTGCAAATTCAACTCCTTTTCCTCCATCTCTGTTCAATTTCCTATCTATTGAGGTGTTATTTTGTGTTTTGCTACTTTATCACAAATGTCTTCTCACTGTGACACTTGTTTTTTATGCCATTATAGACTTAACGCAAGAAAATAAATGGGTATAAGTTAGTGTCTATTTATGATAAGTTCTTAAAGGCTATCTGGTAAAGATCCACTGATAGTTGGGAACAAAACAAGGATACTCATTCTCAGCTTCCTGTAAAGATACAGGAAGCCAGTATTTCCAGCACCAATAAATTATTATTAAGTAGTCTGTTTATCCCTACTGACAGCCGATCTTACCTCCACTATATGCAAATTACCATATATCTGTGGAGAGAATAGGTATGAAATTTGAATAAAGGGAACGAAATTATTATGGCAGGTAGCATGATTTTTACACAATAAGCCCCAGGGACTCAACAGAAAAATGATTAGGACTGGTAAGAATTAAACAAGGTTACCAGGCATGACTAATTTACCAAAATTTCTATGCCAGCAATAAAGTTACTAAATGTAATAGAAAACAAAGTATCATTTACAATGATCACAAAAATCATAAACTAAAAAAAAAAAAAATCGTAAACTGCAAAGGAGGTAACCTAACCAAAAATGTTAGAAAAAGAATTTTAAATCTGTAAAAGGATCTGTAGGAAGTCCTAAATAAATAGAAAAGAGCCGTGTTCATGACTTGAAGATTTAACCCTGTGAAGATGTCGGCTCCCAGTTGAAAAACAATTTCTGTAGAATTCCAGTTTAAAACCCAAGTGAAATATTGTGAGGATTGGGAAAACTGATTAAGTTTATAAGTAAGAATAAACCCATGGTTAGCTAAGAAGAACAGAGAACAAACTTTACCCCGCCAGTACTGAAACACAGTCATACCATAGTAATTTCAAACGAACAAAAAATGGAACAAAAATATTTTAGGAAGAGACTGTGCCCAGTATATGATAAAGGTAAAATCAGAGGAGGTACCGTATGCAAAGTAACACCATATTTTCATTCAGGACCTTGGTGACTGTAAGAGGTGGTTTTCCGACATCTCTGCCTTAAATGTTTTCCATGGCGGAGCACATGACTACCACGGGTGAGGCCTTGGGTTCAGTCCAGCACCAGAAAGAGGAAGAACAGACAACAAAGTGGTACCATTCCATGTCACTTAAAGTTGATTTCTCACTTACGTGCCACTTGGCAAACATTTTAAATCTTTGTCTCTCCCATTCCCCTTTCAAACTGTTCGAGATTTGTACATCTCAGGTATATCTAATCTCTGCCTTCGCACTTTTAGCCAGTGATTTGATCTTCAGCTTGTGAGTAGTAAATTTCATTTCTGATCACTCCTGTGCAGTATGTATCTCTTCTACTTCCAACATCATTCTTCTCTTTTCTCATCTCTTGTAAAAGAATTCTATCTCAAGCTTTCTGAGGTTATGCAGGCTACCTGTGCTCTTGATTGTATCCGCTCCTGTGTGTCTCTCAGGAGCAGACATCCTTTTCTTACATCCTTTAGTTTTTTGGCTTCTTTCCTCTCTGGTTGTAAACTTTCATGTTTCTCCCACCTGCCAACCCTTTCTCTCCAACACCTCTTTATTTCCTAGTCCTTACCCACATTACTGTATTGTCCCATCTTTCTACTAAAATTATTTATGTCAGTCTCCTAATATTGCCGTGTGCTTTGGACTTCTTCTATTTTTACTTTCATTTCCTTGGTTGATACTATTTCCTCAGATGATACTGCTAGATATTTACTTGGAGGATTTTATATAACTCTCAAGATCTTTAAATTGTATGTATCTAAGTCTTAGCTTTCCACTTCACTGACCTCCCCTGCCTCCCCCATGGTTAATGTTACTGTAGATTGTTCTTTACCTTCATATGCATGTGAATGCCCATTTTTGTTAAAGACCCTGATCTTCCCTCACCTGGAGTATTTAGAACCATCGTACTAGAATTCTTGCTTTCCGTTACCTTTCTTCTCTGTTGTGTCTTTCACATTGTTGTCAGACTGGTCTTCCCAAAACATGAATGTATTCGTGCATCTCCCTATAGATTGTCTCTGAAATCGGCAGAATGCACAAGTTATTCACGATCTCATCTCTGTTACCCTTTCTACTTTTTGTGTCATGCTCCTCTCCCCTGTAAACCCTGGAAATTAATATGAAAAAATCCAAGTACTTAAGTATGGCCATTTAAAAGATGACCATTAGGGCCAGGGATATAGCTCAGCGACACAGCGCCTGCCTGGCAAGTGCAAGGTCTTGAGTTCAATTTCTGGTACCAAAAACAAAAAGATGGCTACTAAGAGCATGTGATTGGGCGTGGTGCTGTCTGCCTGTAATCCCAGCACTTGAAAGGTTGCGGCAAGAGGATCACTGTGAGTCCAAGACCAGCCTGAAGTACATAGCAAGATCCTATCCCCAAAAACTAAAACGTAAAAATAAATTTAAAAAAGGGCATGTGATGTAAGTGACTTAAGACTTGCAAACATGGCAGTTACATGGGCAAATTTTTTAAAAGATAAAACCATGCCACTTTCTTCAAATAACCGTCTTGATCTAAGTGCTGTTGGCCCCTTTTTGAGCATGTTCAGCATCCACACATGCAACCTACCACAGATAGAAAACTCCATGGGAAGCCGGGCATGGCCGCCCATACCTGTAATCCTAGCACTGAGAGGCCGAGGGAGGAGAATCACGAATTCAAAGCCAGTCTGGGCTGCATATTGAGACTGTCTCAAAACAAGGGAAAATAAAACAACAACAACAAAAAAAACCTTTCAGGGAGAAATGTTATGTCTCTGCTAAAAATGTATAGACTTTTCTTGTCTCAGTTCCCTAAACTAGAGATATGTATCTAACTCGCAACCTATAAGCCATTTGCCATTTTTTTTTTTTTTTTTTTTTTTTTTTTAGTGCTGCAACAAATACAAAAAAGCATGTATAGATGTTGGTATCCACAAGAGGCCTAAAACCATTCCCTCTGGTGCATGACTAGAGTGCATGAAGAGCTGTGTGGAGCACTGTAATTCATAGATGCATAGACTGAAATTCTATTTGCCTGAAGTTGAAACAAATCATTTGCCTCCCTATCTAGATTTCCTCTGTAGAATGCATGAATGGCAGTTTTGTGTATATTACAAAGCTGCTTTTTCAATCAGTATATGGAAGTGCATTGAAACTTTTTCTTATGGTGTGTAATATTGTCATCTGTTACATCCTTAATTCCAGGAAAGCAGGTCAGTAATTTGGCAGACTCTTCAGGTCATTCAGTTGGATGTCATGCACAAAGGTGAGTATCAAGTAGTTTCTGTTGAAGGTTATTCGAATGATCAGATTAAAAGCAAAAGGATTTCTTTATGTTGCTACATACATTTTTTTCCCCCCAGATCTGAAGTTTCTGACAAGAATATGGCCACAGGAGTTGGGAAAAAAATGGAAGAAATCCCAGGTTCCTTCTCCGGAGAGAGCATAGTTCCAGCTAGCAAACCATTTGAAAGCCATAGACGTGTGCTGTGTTTTGATAGCACTTCTCCTTCAATGGCAAACACGCCGGGGTCAAGCCATAAGGTGGTTTCCCAAAACAAAGAAAGGAACGAAGCTTCATCGTCTCATCTTGACTCACCCACTGTGTGCTCCACATTAAAACCCCCTTCGAATGCCACCAAAAAAGAGAGAGAGAAAACACCTATTCCCAAGATTTTATCTAAATCAGAAAGTGCTACTAGTCGGCATACCGCCATAAAAGAAAGTCAGTCAGAAAAGAAAGTTTCACCAACAGAAATGGTGCTTGAATCCTTCCATAAAGCAACAGCTAATAAGGAGAATGAATTGTGCAGTGATATGGAAAGGCAGAAAAGTTCAGACGCTTCAAGATTGTCCGTTGGGCAGCAAAATGGGAGTTTACGAAATGAGAAAGCAGCATCTTCACTGCAGGAATTGACCAAGAAACAAGTTTCATCTTCAAACAGTAAAAATGTTCTCTCAGTAGGTACAGCGGTAAAGGATCTAAAACAAGAACAAGCTAAATCTGCCAGCTCTTTGAGCACCACAGAAATACTACATGACGTGCAGTTGCACAGCCCAGTAAGCAGACTCGCTGATGGTGCTGATTTGCCTGTTCCCCGGACACCTGGCTCAGGAACCGGGGAAAAACATAAGGAAGAAGCTGCAGATGTCATCAGGGCTCCCTCTACTAGGCGTTTTGCTGACGACAGTAGCACACCCAAAGCAATGATCCCTCCTATCACCCCAGACCTGCCTGCCTGCAGCCCTGCCAGTGAGACGGGCAGTGAAAATAGTGTCAGCATGGCCGCCCACACGTTAATGATTCTCTCCAGAGCAGCCATTTCCAGGACTACTTCCGCAACTCCTCTGAAAGATAACACTCAGCAATTTAGAACGTCTTCAAGGAGCACCACCAAAAAAAGGAAAATCGAGGAGTTAGATGAGCGTGAGCGGAACTCGCGCACTTCTAGTAAAAGTCTTGCAAATTCATCAATACCAATGAAGAAGAAGAAAATTAAGGCAAGTTCAAAAGTTGTAATTTCAGAACTACACCATTTCCTTCCTTCAGTACTCAGAAAATTCAGCCATTTTTGCCGCAACAACCTGATTGAATATTATGGTGATGACAATATTGAGTTTTGATTGATAAAATGCATGTAATGGCAGTGTTTCTTAGTCCTTGAGGTACTTACAAGTTGTGTATCCCAGCACTCAAGAGGCTAAGGCAAGGTGAGTGCTGTGAGTTTAGGGCTGGGCTAAACTGCACAGTGAGACCCTGTTTCAGAGAGAAAGTCATATAGATGAAACAGCATTCTAAAACACTTGCTCGATTCCCGGTACCAAAAAAACAAAACAATTGCCGAGGCATTTACCCATAAACATCTTCCTTGGGAAAGATAAATGTTTCTGTCATGGTAGGACACAGGTTTTACTTTATGAAAGTGAGATAATACATGAAAGATTGGGAAACCACTATTATATAAAATTAGCAAGCTCAATGGTGCCTCAGTTCCCAAACAATTTGGTTTGCAAACAGAAGCATTTGGAAAATTTTTGTTTTTCTTTGCAAACTGCCTTGGGTGATAAACACGACTGCGGCCACCTTTCGCATACAAACGTGGTCTCTTTTCCAAAGGCATAGAACTGATTAAGTTCGCCAACCAAGGTGCCTCTGTAAAACGCTACTTTGCTCCTCTTAAGTAGATCTGGAGGTTTTCATCTCCTCCATAGCCATTAAGGTGTTAAACATGGTTGTCTATCAGAAGGCAATGCAGTAGCAGTGATGAATGAAACCTGTTTGTTTCAAAGTTTTTTAAAGCTATTTTCAGTAAGTGGATTGAATAGAAATTGTTGAAAATGTGTAGTAGCAAGGAAAGTCTTGACGTGCTGCCCTGCAGGCCTGGGTTTGAATTTTCCATGTGCTACATACCGTCTCTGCGACTGACCGGGGCTGTCTGGCTTCTCTGATTATTAGCGTCATCAGTTGACGTGGTACTGCCATATATGTTCCCTGTGGCCTTGGGAACTACATAGAGTGTATGTAAAGTACCTACGGCATATTTAATGTCTGGAATTTGCTAAGTGCCTGTTACTATTTATTCATAAAGCTTTCCAAGGTTTAGGGGTTTTGATAGTAACAGTCACTTTGTACAAGCCTACTCTATCTTGTATCATTTAGCATTCTTAGACTCTGGATTTGTATAATGCTTTTTGCTATAGACTAACGTTGAAGTATCATTAAAATACAAAGTGTTCAAAAAACATGGTGAAATTTTTGTTTTCAGTGTATTAAAGGAAAAGACACATTGCCATTAATCCCTCTCAGAATACTCTCTCTCATTTCAGACATACTTATCCTATCATTCTTGCCATTTGTATGTAGCACTTCGGAAAGTTCTCTTTCATGAATATCTAATTGTGCTGTTGGGCTGCCTGAGTGTTCTGAGTCAGTTCAGAATGTGTACTTTCATAGTCGTCTTTGAGGGGAAACCGGAAGTCACGGCATGCCAGGCCCCGTGACCAAGGTGGCTGAGGACACAAACACACTAACGTTCTTGTAAGCCTGCTTTCCATTGGATGGCACTTGGCAGTAGCATTCACCATAGACTGACTCCACCGTATTCGAACTTCATAAGGACAGGAAAGACGACTTCCAGAACTGCTTCAGAAAGTGTGGAAAAGATGGGATAAGTGTGCTCAAAAAGAGAGGGGTTACTTTTAGGGAGATTAATGGCAGTGGATCTTTTACTATAATATTATTTTAATATTCACTGTATGTTTTGATCAGACTTTGTATATTAACTTTGGGTTTATAAAACTTACCTCTACTTCTATAGAACTAAAGTTCTAAAAGATTTTTAAAAATCGGCAATTTGGTAGTACATGGAAGAACCCAATATTGTATTCTAGGTGTCTTACTGAGAAAACTGGCCGTGTTTATTTTTCCTTCTTTTCTCTCCCCACAGAAAAAGAAGCTACCTGGCTCATTTCCGGCGGGAATGGACGTGGACAAATTTTTGTTATCATTACATTACGATGAGTAAGCGTCTCACACACAGGACGCTGGTTGTTTAACACTTGTATCCCTTAAACTGTGGGTGTGGGGAATGGGATATGGACAGAAATGGAAGACATGACCTGCACTTTCCATTGTACTAAAGTTTCACTTTATACCTAATCATGCTGTTTATGAAGCAGCAACCTAGTTTGTAAATAGACTTGATATATTTCTATTTTGGAAAAAAAAAAATTCGCAGAAATGTAAGTAAAGCCAGTCTGCAAAAACTGTACAGCTTTGACAGTTGCATATTGTAAATGTTGTGTAAATCTTTTTGAAAATAGAGGTTAAATCACCTAATGTTCTTACACTGCGTTTTTTGACTTATGATCCTTAATTGAGGTTTATTCATCTGGAATAGTATCTCATTTCTTTTGAAGGAAAGTGTTCCTTAGCCTTATAAATTACTTTCAGCCATTGTTTAAAAAGATATTTAAGTATATAGCCACTAAGTACAAAAAAAGATAACTACCTCAACTGGTAGTAATCAACAGTTTGATGGATTTTTTCCCTGTAGACTCAGTACTTTACCTCCCTTTCTTGTAGTTGCAGTAAAAAGTATATCCCTAAAATTTTACAATTATTTCTTGAGGTCATTTTATTCTCTTTGTTTTGAAGAGAATTTTGTAAGCCATTTATTGAGTGTTCTCATTTTCCTTTTAACCCTTTTACAGAACATTAAGTGGTTAGACTGTTGAGCCATACAAAATTGTTATAAAGTAGTTGCGATTTCTCAGTATATATAACTTGCCCCCTAAGCACTAGGGATATAAAGAATTGCACTAATTCTTCACGTAGTAGTGATCAATGCACATTTAATTTAAATCTTGTGTTTTAAGTTAAAGTTCGTGTGGATTATCTTCTGGTGTCCTGAAAGTCATGTCCATCAAAAGATGTAAAAAGAGAAATCATAGTTTTATATTTTAGTTTCTCCTAAAATGGGGTGTGTTAAATAACAGTATCCACACTTAGATATAGCACATTGTCTGTGTGTCCCTTAAAGTGTTCTAAACAGATACTCTCAAAGCCCTTAAGTGGAGTGAGAGAGGTGCCTTCTCTGTATTGAACTCACGTAACAGCAGTCAAGTGAAGAACCAGTTTAAACTTTTAAATGATAACAAATTATAATTAATACCTGACCAGTTGTGCCTAGATATTAAAATATGCTTAAGTGCTTTCTGTTTAAATGTGAGTACATTAGGATTTTTTTTTACACAGGTGTATATTTTGTTGAAAAGTCACTTTGCTCAACCATTTTTTGTACTGGGTCTTTAAAACAATAAATCCATCCTATTCTAATACAAGTTTTCACTGTAGAAATCATTTCTTCATTGCTGAACTCTACTGCAGAAATTTTGGGTTATAAAAAGTTTTTATGATGTGACAGTGGTCTCAGACTAAATATCATACAGTTAATATTTACTTGCTACTGCATTACAGTTAGATCTGAGTAAATATTTCCATTAACTTCAGAACTTTTTACCCTTACTGGCAGTCCTGGTCAGAAACACTGACCGGACTTCACAGCAGGTTCATTCTTGCTTACTTGTTTCCAGAAATTCATATAATACTTTTTTTTTTTATTTTAAAGATAAAAGGAGGGAAACATATAATACTTTAAAAGTGCAGGTTTTCTTCCCATTTAGTTAGTATTTGTGTTAAGTTCTGAGAATTCATATAACAAGAATTTCTTTAATATTCTTAAATAGGAAGGAGCCATTAGAGATAGTTGTACTTGGAGTGTTTGTGTCAAGGGCTAAATCATAATCCACATTTTGCCCTAAAAGTCTAAACGACCTGCATATTACCTGGTAACCTGTCAAATGCTCAGTGACCGCCTCTTAGGGTTAAAGTATACCACAGACAGTGGATATTGGTCTTCTGATAACGAGTTATTTCAAACGCACATTACTCTACATTCTGCGTTCTTCCCCCATCCCAGTACTGAGGGCTGAAGGAGGAGCCTTGTGCCTGCCGAGTCAGCCCTCTACCACTGAGCTACGTTCCCCTGCCTCATCTGCATTCAGTTTTTATCAAGCTGCTGTTTTTCAGGCTCAGGCCTTCTTACAGTTATATATCAAGTTTTAACTTTATTATACTTCTGTGGAGGTTTATTTTGTTTGCTGTTGGTTTCTTTTGGTTGTTTTTTTAGGCAGAGTCTGTGTTTGTAGTTCAGACTAGCTAGTCTTGAACTCACTAGGTAGCCCAGGCTGGCCTCAAACTCAGGGTGATCCGAGTGCTGGGATTGTAGGCTGTACCACCAACACCTGGCTGAGTTACTTTGTAGAAATCCAGGCTGCTTCTCTTTTTTTGCTCTCACTGCTTTTGCTGTTTTCCGCTGCCATGAACTGTTACCCTCTGCCATGTGCCACGCTGCCTTGGAGTCAGCCGAGTATGGACTGAAACCTCCACAAACTGTGAGCTAAATAACCTTTCCATCCTTAAAAAAACAAGAAAAAAAGTCCAAGTTATTCTAAATTTTGAAACTCAGGTAACCTCCATGGTTTACATTCAGGAAGTTTGGACCTGCATTATATTTATACATATATACACACACTGTTTACTTTGGTATGTAGACTGTGCTGTCATAATGAACTCACATAGCCTTGTATCCATTGTTCTTGTTTAAATACTCACATCTTTTGTAATTCCTGATTAACTTGAGAATCACTTGTGTTTGAGATATGGTAAGTACCAAAAAAGTTTTATAGCTACCTCCCCCCCGCCCCCGACTTTTATTGGGTTTTTTTGTTGTTGTTGTTTCTTTTTGAGACAGGGTCTCCCCATGCCATTCAGGCTGGCCTTGAGCTCACTTTGTAGCCCAGGCTGGTCTTGAACTCACAGTGATCCTCCTGCCTCAGCCTCCCGAGTGCTGGGATTACAGGTGTGCGCCACCACGCCCAGCTGTCTAATTTCTTGATAAACTGACCGGGTTTTTTCTTTGTTGCTGTGGAGAATGCTTCATTGCATAACCACTCTAACGGTTACTGTGTGTATGTAATAGAAATTTACACAGGGGTAACATGTAAACAGAAAAGTGTGCAAAATGTAAGTTTATACACTTGAATTTTTTTTTCCCCAACACATAATCATCCAGATCAAGGCTAGAACATTAGTGGTACCCTAGAAATCCTTCACACTTCCTTCTGTGGTAGTAACCCAAGGAGTAATCATTGTACTGACTTCTAGTACCACAGACTAATTTTAGGTGTTTTTTAATTTATATGAACAGGTTCGTGTGGTATATATTCTCTGTGAGAATTACTCACGTTTTGTTTAATTCAGTCATCCTCAGTGCTGTTTATATTTGCATTATGGTGTATCACAGCCCATTGAAAGACAATAAACAAATTCAGTTTGGGGCTTTTACGAATAGAACAGCTGTAAATATTCTCGAGTGTTTGTTGGGAGGTGCTGCACTTTCAGGAGGCTACAGACTGAGGACTGCGGTTGCTAGGCCATCGTGTTGCTTATTCCCAAACATCATCAGATGTTTGCATTTTCTAAGATGATTACCCTAATTTACACTCGGCAGTACAGGGAATGTTCCATTCATTCTGAACGATTAGCAGGGCTTGACGGAGTGCACACTGTGGATTTTACGTTCATCGGCTACTTGGTTATTGTTTGCGGACTACCCACTGATGTGTTTTGCCCTTTTTCGTACCAGGTAGTCTTTGTTTTTTCTTAATGATATGTATGTGTTGCTTCTATATTCTAGATATAAATTTTATCAGATAGCTATCAAATATCTGAATATTTTACCACATTTTTGTTTAGTATCTTGTAGTTTGATTGGTCATCCGCATGGAATTGATCTTCCTTATGGCTGTGCAGTTAACCCCACAGTACCACTTATTTAAAAAGGCTGTCCTTGCCTGGGCGCAGTGTTGTGTTACCTTTGTTTTAAATGGTTAAAATGTATTACATGGGTTTGTTTCTTGGACTTCAGTCTGTTCATTCCATTGGACTTTTTGGAAAGGTATGCCTGTCACAGACTATCTTAATTACTACAGGAAATCTGTTATATTTGAGTTTCTATTTTTGACCTGAGTGAACTCCACTAGTGCTAATGGATTTTCCAGTGCTTTTTTTTTTTACTTAAGGATATATCTGTAAGTAACTTTTCTGATTTGTTTCTTACTATACTAACTTAGCACTGAGTACAGTGAATAATGATGAAAGTAGACAGATTGGTCTTATTTCTCATTTAAATGAAAACGTTAAGTATAATGTTGACTTTTACTTGTAGTGTTTTTGTTTTCTTCGTAGTATATGGGATAGAAACCAGGGTGCCCTGCAGGCTAAGCTTTGTGTATAGTGTTTTAAGAATTTACCTCAGCCAAGCATGGTGGCACATACCAATAATCCCAGCGGGAGGCTGAAGCAGGATTGCTGTAAGGCTAAGGCCAGCCTGGGCTACATAGTGAATTCAAGGCTAGCCTGAACTATGTAACTTGAGACCCTGTCTCAACACCTCCCCACTCCCCCTCTCCCCGCTTTGCCTCTCCCGACTATCTCAGGAATACCTGTTCAACTTAATTAGGTGCTGTTATAACATCAACTAAAATACTTGCATTAAGGGCCGGAACATTGTGGCGCACACCTGTAATCATAGCACTTGGCAGGCTGAGGCAAGAGGATCGCAGGAAGATCGCCATAAGTTTGAGGCCAGCCTGGACTACGTAGTGAGTTCAAGGCCACCCTGACCTACATAATGAGACCCTGTCTCAAATAAACAAAAATACTTGCATTAAAGCTTGGCCTGGTGGCACATACCTGTGATCTCAGTACGCTGGGATCCAAGGCAGGAGGACTACAAGTTCAGTACCAGCCTGGGCAACTTAGTGAGACCTTAGCTCAAAATTTGAAACAGGTGGTAGGGATGTAGCTCAGTGAGAAGACCCTGGGTTCAATCCCCAGTTTTTTAAAATAACTGTATTAAGCCCGTGGATTTATTATTATATTTTAATATTGTATAATTTATGATCTTTGAGGGAGTGTTATTTTTTGTCTTTGGTTTTTTTAAAACACAGTCTCACTGCATAGTCCAGGCTGGCCTTGAACTCACTTTGTAGCCCAGGGTAGGCTCGAACTCAGGGTGGTCCTCCTACCTCAGCTTCCTGAGTTCGGGCATTACAGGTGTGTGCTACCACACCTGACTCCTTTTGTGATTTTAATGAATGCCTTTTAAACTGTAAATTTGACTTGGACATTTGTTTACTTTTAATGAAACTGGTTTTAAATTTAAATTATAAATGGTTTTGAAACTTTCTAGCTTATCTGAATGTTGAGTATGATAATAAATAGTACTAGTCTTAAGGCTGAAGTCTAAGACAGTATATGTAAAACCATTCAAAGCAATGCCTGCACCATAAAAACATAAAAAGCACCTTAAGAACTGTGATTATGGTCAGCTGTTACACACGTGTACATACATGTGTGTATGTATATGTGTGTGTGTATGTGCTCCTTCCTCTGCAGCTGTGTACTCAGAATAGGAACCTTGAGAGTAAACCCACCCCGTGTTCAATTTACTTTCTTTTAAATTTCTTCCAGGCTGCTTGATCTAGTCAGGCTTAAAGCTTTTTTTCTGATCCCAGTGTCTCATTTTTTCTCCAATTTTTGCGCATGTTCTCCAAGATGCAACTAATTTCTGATAGAAACACCTTTTTGTGGTATGCTTCTTTGATTCAGTAATTTCTACTTTATTCTTTTTTTGTCAGGGTCCTTTTTGCATGGTTTAGTTAACTTAAAATTTTAGTTACCTCACTTTTTTCCTTTTCAAACCATGTAAACATTCGAAGTTATGAATTTATTTGATTTGTTTTCAACCTCAAAATCTACATTATGGATGAGTTCTTTGGTTTTAATCAAAATCTGGAAGATAGGGAAGTAGTGGGGGTATTTTATCTTTACATGATTACTTAAAATAAGTACATCATGTTCTTTGGTTTAAAGTTTTTATTATTAGTACATTATTTTTTCCAGGGCTGGGGCTCTAACCTAGGGCTCCACTGAGCTACAGGTTAAAATTTGTATATTTTAGTGCTTGCTAGGGTTAGCTCAGTGTTCTGGGGCTTATGTGTTGAAGGCTTGGTTACGCCTGTGATGCTACTGGGAAGTGGTGGAAGCTGTAAGCCGTGGAGCTAGGTCTCGGGGATATGCCAGCCAAGGGGGTTAAGGGAGCCCAGCTCTTTGCCTCTTCCTCTGACTGCAAGCTGCCATGAACTTCGTACCATGTTTTGCTGCCCACCGAAGGAGTAACTGATGATGGATAGAACCTCTGGGTCACAACAAACCTTTCTTGCTGGGGAGCCCATCATCCTCGCACTCAGGAGGCTGAGGCAAGAGATCTCCATGAGTTTGAGGCCAGCATGGGCTACATAGTGAGTTCAAGGCTAACCTGGGCTACATAGTGAGACCTGGTCTCAAAAACAGAAAAGAAATAAGCTTTGCCTGTTTTTTATTACCTCAAGTATTTTGGTACAGTAATAGAAATCAGTGCTTAAAAATACGTATTGTTTATAAGGGAACAAAGTTTGATATTTATCCAATTTTATACTATTCAAATCCTGTCTTTGCTTTTAACGATTTTTTCCGTGTTTGTTTTCCCATTATAATTACTTTGGCCGTAATTTTTGCTTTGTTTTAATGTTTGTCAGTGTGTAATCTACCACTTACCTTTTGAGACAAGATCTCACTAAGTTGCCCAGGCTGCACTCAGACCTGTCATCTTCCTGCCTCGGCTTCCCAGGGTGCTGGGTTACAGCTGTGCAGCACTGCACCTGGTTCACCTTTTCTTCATGTAAGTGCTTCTATTTTAACACTTTCTGCCTTCTAATTAGTATGCACCCCAATCCTCTTTTTATAAATAAATTTTTGCAGTTGCAAAATTTATCTTTTATACTTTATGGTACAAGGATGAGATAGAAACAAGGGCCTCATGCACACTAATCAGGAACTCTGTTGCAGGGCATGGAGGCACACACCTGTACACACCTGTAATGCCAACACTCCAGAGGCTGGGGACGACATTGTGAGTTCAAGGCCAGCCTGGTTTACACAGCAAGACCCTGTCTCAGAAATACAAAACTATTATGAGCTGTGTGGGCATCCCTTTTTAAATTTTGAGTCTTACTAAATTGCCCAGACTGGCCTCAAACTTGCAAACATCTTGCCTTTGGCTCCTGAGTAGCTGTGATTACAGGCGTACACCACTATGCCCATTGTCTTCTGTGCTGATGTAAGATGTAGAACTTGTTCTGCTGGTATTTGCCAGTATTTAGTGTGCATATGTTTTACCCGTACGCACCATCTCTTCTCCAGCAGTCCTGAATTCTTAAATGGTCTTTCTGTGAGTCTGTCTAAACCTTTGTTGTTTTTTGGAGAAAACATCTTGGAGTACTCTGCTTTCAAAACACTTAGATCTCTGAGATACTTTCTGGTATCTTGTAACTGTATTCCATTAAAAATGTGGGCTCAGTAATAGAGAATATGCTTAGTATACTTAAGTCTCTGGGTTCAATCACAAAAGCCCCCCCAAAATAAATACACGTTGGCCACTTAATGTAGAAGACTCCTCTTACATTAAATGTTGTAGTTTTTCTATCAAATGTTTGAAGAATTTTTTTTTTTTTTTTTTTTTGGTTTTTCTCCGGTACCAGGAACCGAACTCACGACCTTGCGCTTGCCAGGCAGGCGCTTTGCCGCTGAGCTAAATCCCCAGCCCCCTGAAGAATATCTTTAACGTTTTTCTCCAGAATTCTTAGTATGGTTCTCCATTAGTGGATTTTGCTGATGGAAATACATCTTTCCGTAGGTTTTTTTCCTACTACATTTTATTTTGTTATGTTGTTACTGCTTCAGAATCCCATTAAAATAAACACCATTTAGTTGGTTCTTTGTCTCTTCTCCCTTCTCTCCATTTTTTTCCCAGAACTGTCAGGCTCCCTTTCATATTTTCCAGATCACTGACCTTTGGATGCAGTGTTAATTCTGCTTTTCCTGGTGCTGTTATAAATTCTTCTAAGTTAGGGCAGATATTCACTGGGCGAATTGAAAGGTACTTAAAATAAAACGTAAGAGTTTGAACTTCAGAGTTAGAAAACCTTGTGTGTGAACCATAGCTCAGCTATTTAACAGCTGTTTGACCTTGAATTTATTTAGCGACTCCATGCTTCGTTTTCCTTATCTATATGGGAGAAATAATAATGGTTTCTGCCTAGTTGTACTGAGGATTAAGGCATTGGCTCCAACTGTGAAGTTATACCTCAGTTCATAAATTTAATTTGTTCCACAATTCTGGGCAAGGCGGCCAGCCACGTTCCATACATACACACGTTCACGCAGGGTGCCGGTGCAGAGCTTGCAGATAGTTCTGCCAGAAGCTTGTTTGGGAACCAAATCATTTGCAGACAAAAGCGTTTGTGAAGAACCAAGGTATCACTGCACTAGCTAGCACATAAGGAGCCTCAAAAGTTCATTGTGATTATTAGATCTTTTTAAAAATATTCTTCCCTTGGATCTTAGGACCAAACGTTCTTTTTCTCCCCATAAATGGTCTTTTTGTTTCTTCAGAGTACCTGTAATGATAATGTGCAGATGTTTACAGAGGCTTCAGTGTGGCATTTTTTCCTTGCCACGCCTGCTTTGGGGTTGGTGACTAGGCCGTGCCTGCAGGGGCGTTTTGCCAGATGAGGTACAATTCAAGTGACTCGTGTTGCAGTCTACCCTGCCTCAGCACGGGCACTGCAGCCTGCCGGAGTCGGCAGTCTCCTCACTGTAACTGTTCGTCCTGTCCATTCCCACATTCTTTCTCCTTCTCTGTGCTACTGTCACCATCCAGATCCTAGGATTTTCCTTTTGATCTCCCATACCCCGAGTCCTGAAAGCTGAGGTAAGAAGTTGCCTCTACTCTAGACATCAGCATGTGGTTTATATTTCTAGTACTACTGTATATGTGATGTTTATAGCTTTTCTTTTCGTTGAGACAGGGTCTCACTGGGGTCTAGGCTGTGTCAGGATCCCAACTCTCACCCCTCCTGCCTCAGCCTCCTGGGTACTAGGATTTCCAGCACACATCCCCATGCTAAGCTTGCCTGTGGCCTCTTGACTAAAACTAAACGGCACTGCTAGTTTGCCCAGAATAACCAGCTCTCACTTTGAAGAATCCAGTAATGTAAATTACCTGCAAGTAACATTCATATGAAAAACTGTGATTTGTTCTCTCAAATGGAAGCTTCCAGCTACTTGTGTAAATCAACAGTAATTATATACTAGCATTTCACATAGTACAGGTTCACACCATAGAAATGTATCGAACTTTTAAATGACAGTACCAGAAAATTAAAGCAGAAGAAAAAATGTAATCTCAAGAGGTTTGGGGATGTGATCATTTTTCTTATTTTTAAAAGTTAAAATAGAAAATAATAAAAAATTAAAGCATTTGCACGTAAGCTGTCCCAGGAGCTGTGCAGGGCTGTCTCCTGGCACACCGAGGTTGTCTACAGCTTCTGGACGAGCAAGGCAGAGGCTCCTCCGCCTCCGTTGCAGATGCTGGCGAGACCATACTCTCCTTGCTTCAGGGCATGAGCCAGGTGAACCACGATCCTGGCTCCAGACATCCTAGGGTTAAGAAAGCATTTGTTTCCATCACGTAGAACAGAATTGGTTGCTAACCAGAAAATATGCCTCTTGCAAATGAACTTCTTGGAAAAACTTAATTAGCTACTACTTACAGCTGAGTTTACTACATTTGTTAAATTTAGAACTTTTGTTTCAGGAAGGGTTAGAGCTCCTTTGGGAGCCTGAGCACAGTTTATTTAGTATGCTTCTTCCTTAGAATCCAACACTTGGGTTCAAGCAGCAGGTGTGGGGCACTCGCAGAAACGGTGGTCGCCTTACCGAGGATGGGTGGGAAGGACAACTTAGCAACAGGAACCGTCACGAATCAACTAAATTTAAATAGAACTACACACGTGGCCGTTTCCCTAGAAATAATAGTATACCCACCCGATCGGATGCCCCAGAGAAACAGCTCCTCCATTAATATTCACTTTCTGGGGATCAATCTCCAGCATTTTAATGTTTGCTAGTACAACCAGGCTAAAGGCTTCGTTGACTTCCCACATTGCAATGTCTTCTTTTTTCAGCCCTGCGTCTTTAAGAACCTAAAATTTTGAAGAGATGGTGTTCAAGTAATAGCAATCATAATTTATTTTCATTTTCTTGACATTCTGTAATTATGGTTGTATTTCCCTTTGATTTTGTGTTTATTTATTTTTTTGGTGTCAGGAATCGAACTCGGGACCTTGTGTTTGCCAGGCAGGTGCTGTGATGCTGAGCTAGATTCCTGGCCCTGATACTGTTTAAAATGGGGCACTGTAGTTTCTGAAGGCTCTTTCTCATTTTTATCTTTTTATTTCATTACAAAGAATCTTATTTGCATTATGTCTGTTTTGAGGAGATAAGAGAAAATTTGCAGTTTTTGAACATTCCACAAATACTTAAGGTGTATATACTATTTGAGTATAAACTGTTATATATAGAGACATAACTAAATGATTATATGTTGCTTGGTTTTATATTCTTGATCTGTAAAATTAAGTTGATTCATCTCTGTTAGGTGGTTGGTTTTTCCTTGTACCTCCTGCAGATTCTGCTTTGAAAAAGTTACGAGAGTACCAGGCGTGGTGGGACACGCCTGTAATACCAGCACGTGGGAGGCTGAGGCAGGAGGATCGCTGTGAGCTCGAGCCCAGCCTGGGTTACACAGCCAGACTCCGTTGTTTGGAGCACATATCTATTGTGAAGTCCTGTCACATGACATTTTGATAACTGTTCAGCTATGTGTGAAGGTGTTTTTCTGTTAGTGATTATTCTTATGCTGTTACTTTCATAAAAAATTTTCCAGGGCCCCTTTTTATTAAAAAACAAAACTATGCTTTCTAATCTGGTACATTCCCTTTAAAAAGTTGTACATTCCTTCCTCTCTAGGTGCTGTTCTCAGAGCTGCATTCTGAGGATGAGGCCCGCTCTTGGGAGGGAAGTCGTGCTGGAGCCTCTCCTCAGCCCTTTCCTGGTGACCCCTTCCTTGCAGAGACATGGTTGTTTCTCCCTCTGGTAACACGGACGGTTTGCAGTCTGTGCGTTTTCTGTGCCTGATTTTACTCTTGCTCTCTGACTTGTGGCCACGGGTTCCCTTTCCGGCTGGAGACGTTTTCTTTTGGAAATGACTGTTCGCTTTGAATTCTAGATCTGGACTGCTCGTGCTTCCTTTTCTTTGCCACACCAACTTCCCCTTTGTGTTTACTGCTCCATCACAAATGCCATCCAAGTGTGTGACCCAGCTTCATACTTAGAAGGCGTTCAGTTATGTCACTTTTTTATCTGTTCTACTGAAGATACAATCTGTGGGTTGCTCTGTTATTTTCAGGGAAACTGAGGCTATCACTAAGCTCTTGCAAATGAAAGCTGACCTTGTTAACAGCAAACCAGCAGTTAGCACAGCGGAGTACAGTACCTTAGGTACGGCATAGGCAGGTGCGACTGGAAAATCAATGGGGTCCACAGCCGCATCAGCAAATGCTGTAAAGAAATACACTGTTACCATCTTTTACAGGCATCGAAGGCTCTATCTTTCATGTATCACATGCAAAACTCAAGCTAACCTTTTATATTTTTCATGTAATTTCTGGTAGATTACATACTTTTAAAAATTGATTTAGATAGTTTTTGTTTTATCTGCAAATTAACAAAAATGTCAAAGGAGTTTCTGCCTCAATTGAAATTCGTACCAGTTCAATGCCACCACAAAGCACAACCTACGGGAGAAATAGCCAGCTCCGTATCTGTATTACCGGCAAGGAAAGTTTCAGGAAGAGCCTACAGAAGTTTAAAACTAAACCAGAGCAGAGCACCTACCTGCTATTCTTGCCAGCGGCTTAGCGTTGAGCCTCTTGGCTGCGTCTGCAGTCATCAGAACCACGGCGGCCGCCCCGTCGTTCAGCGTGCTGGCGTTGGCCGCTGTTACCGTGCCTGAAAGCAGCAGTCAGCGCGGAGTCGGAACGCAGCTTCGCGCCGAGCTCCTTTGGCTTGGTTCTAACCCACCACCCAGTACATGTCTGAGTCACTGAATCTCTGAAAACGTTATTCCCACCCTCAGGAAACACACACAATGTAAGAGTGCCCTGCGTTAGTGTTAGTAGTGGTTTTCTCAGCGCTAACTCAGAAACATGCATGATGGCCCTGGCTAAATGCTGGTCAGCAACTCTTCAAAGACAAGGAAGGACTGGTTCATACTTTCCTTCCCAGCATCTAACTATTGGCTTATGCGGAATAGCGCAGATACTTACTATATATTTTCCAAATCAGTGTCAAAATCAGGTATTTCTTCGCTAGAATCATGTAATTTAAATGTCAGTGAATACTTAAAAACCCTTTTTTGGGGGGCCGTGGAGGGGGGAGTTCCTGGTACCGGGAATTAAACTCACAACCTTGTGCTTGCCAGGCAGGCGCTGTGCCACTGAGCTAATAAATCCCCAGCCCCTAAAAACCCATTTAAACAAGAGAATTCTGTAGTATGTAAATGATAAAGCTAGAGACAGAGAAGGGTTTAGGGTTTCATTGTTTTTGGTTTTGTTGAGATACAATCTCAGCTGTGTAGTTGAAGCTGGCCTCTAATTTGCAGTCTTCTTGCCTCAGCCTTCCAGATGCTGGGATTGCAGATGCAGACGTGTCCCCAGGCCTAGCAAAGCTGTATTTTTTTTTGTTTGACTTTGTTTTTTGTACTAGAAATTAAACCCAGGGCTTTGTGCTCAGTAGGCAAAAGCTGTACCTCTGAGCTACATCCCCAGCCCAAGGAAGATGTTCTAAAAGTGTCAATGAACCTACCTCAGAATACACAGCTAGTGACATTATTTAAAATTCATCCTTGTGTAACATTATGTGATGTTTTGAAAAACAAAGACGTATGCCTATACGTGGAATTGAGGTCAGTTACGAAAGCTGGAAACAATTTCAGGTTATCACAGCTGTATACAGACAACTTTAAAGAACTGACCTGAGGGTGTAACTCAGTGGTAGAACACTTAGCTACTAAGTGTGAGGCTGGTTTGATCCCTGGCCCACACACATACACACACAAAAGATTTAAAACACTGACATCTCATTGGTCCCAACAATGAACAGTTACTTGCTGAGAGTCCACTACATGCCAAGCAAGCATTAGAGATGAACCGGCTATCAGCTTAGTCCTTGGGGAATTTACACTTAAGCTTTTAAGATGAACAGCACGTGAGAAAAATTATACACGTCTCTCCCTTGCAGTTTATATGTTAAAAATACAAATTGTTAGGCAAATTTAAATATACTTTGGATTAAAACTTTTATTAACTGAGTTTGATCTACTTAAAATGTTTAACATCTACATGCCTCTGGAGTAAAGTCCTTAGGCAATTCCCAGAATCAATGCAGTATATAATTTGATTTTTTTCTTTTATTTTGCTACTAACCATTTTCTTTTTGGAAAACTGTCTTCAGCTTTGGAACTTTACTAAAATCAACACGCTTGTATTCTTCATCTTCTTTTACCACTACATCTGGTTTCCCTAGAACAAAAATATTTTAAGTAAGCACCATTCAAGAGAAAATAGTCATCAAGAAGCTGTTATGTAAGATGCCTGGTAGTGTGTGTCCCTCCTCCTGTCCCTGCGTGCCTCAGACTGCCCTGAGTAAATGCTCGCCGGGAGTGGCCGGGTGTAATCTCTATTATGTTAGTGTTCTATAGACCGCTTTACTAAGCAGCTTAAGGAGATTTGTATCTTCAGGCCCACAGGCCACTGTCTTTTCGCTCAGCCCCCTTGTAGGATCCCGTACCCCACTGTATTGACCCCAGGGGTAGATGTTAGGCCAACATTAGAAAAACTTTAAAAGGCAAAAGAAGAATTACTTTGGAACATCATCTCTCTACCTTTTACTGTAATTGTGACAGGAATAACTTCATTTTGAAATTTTCCAGCTTCCCATGCTGCTTTGCTCCTGGTGTAAGAGCTAATAGCGTAAGTATCCTGTTCATCTCTTGCGATGTTCATCTTCTTTGCAGTGTTCTCCGCACAGTTACCCTGATGAATTGGAAATTATTTTAAAACTCTGCACAACTTTTGAATTGATGGTTAGCAGTTAAATTTAGTTTTCTAAAAGACTGTTTACGTATGCTTCATTTTTAAATACTTGAATTATCCCAGAAGTTGCTATTTTAGAAGCCAGAAAATTCGTTATAAAAGTGTGGGGTAGCCAGGCATGGTGCTGCACGCCTGTAATCCCAGCACGCGGGAGGCTGAGGCAGGAGGAGCACCAAGAGTTTCAGGCCAGCCTAGGCTTTGTAGTGAGTTCAAGGCCAGCCTGAATTATATAGTGAGACCCTGTCTCAGAAAGAGGAAGGAAAAAAAAATGCGGGGCGGTTTAGCAATTGAGCCATACTGATGCAATGGGCATAAAATATTTTACCAGCATGAATGGCTAAAATCAACATTTATAGAACCCATGCCTCAATTCAGTTTCCAAAGTAAATCAAGTCTATACCTGATGGCATTCCCTGCTGAAAGCCAGTATTTACCATGTGAATTTTATTGTAGACGTCAGTTAGTCCATCTTTTACTATCAGGTCTTCAAGCTTGACCCCACCGTACGGTGTTGCGCCTCGGTTCATTACATAGGGAACGTTGGACATGCTCTCCATGCCGCCTGCCACCATCACGTCCTGCTCACGGCACACACAAGCAAGTCAGAGTCGCAAGCCCAACGTACACGGTCTGCACGGCGAGCAACAAAGGCGTCCCTGACGTGGATTTCCTGTGTTTTTTACCAAATCCCCTCTACCAGTTGACCCGGATGAAAAATTAAAATACGAAATGAAAACTAAAATTGAAATCGAACAATATCTGAAAATTTTTATGTAAGATCATCTGAAATTCTAACCCTTCATACTAGTGACACTGCTAAAACTAAGTATCTTCTAAAAGATTATAAGGCATCTCAGCTCATGGAACTAACCCTTCTGCTTCCTTGATTTAAACTTCCCCAGACAGCTGTAGTAATGTTCACTTATCTTCTGACACGCGGCCTTTGTCTTCCACTAAGGTGACATCTGTACAGGACTCACCTGAGCCAGTCTGGCTAGAATTCGTCTCATGGCACACTTTCAAGAACTCAGGTTAGTATAAAAAACCCTTTACAGTCTGCCGTCTCCCTAGTCAGTCTGCTGCCTCCCCCTCAGGTCATACAGAACTAGTTGAAGCTATACAAAGATACCATCTCACTTATACCTAACTACCTCTACACTGGTTGACCAATCCACCAAATGTAAAATGCCTACATTTTAGGGCTCGTTTGTAGCTGAGTGGTACAGCACTTGCCTAGCATGCATGAGGCCCCAGGTCAATGCCCAGTTCCTGCCCCAAAAAACTAGCCAGAGCAACCACTTATGACACAAAATAAAACAACCGCTAGGGCTTCCCTGACTACTTATTTCTATACGTTTTTCTTGGAACAGTTTCCCTTTGTGTTTCCCAATTACTGTATAATGCTTCTATGAATACCATAACACCGTATGGTGTGGGCCGGGGGTGTAGCTCAGCAGCTTACGCACTTGCCTGGCAAGCCTGAGGTCATGAGTTTCATTCCTGGTACCAAAAAAAAAACCCCACTATATGGTGGGTACGGTTATGTGGCAAATCCTCCTACTGGGTAAGCTTTGCAGAAGCTCTGTTGCTGCTTTTTCCTTCTGTGCCTTCCTTTCTCTCTCCCTGCTCCCTTGTTCCCCTTCTCACTGGGACATTTTCTTCCCATTTCCCAATATCTGTTCCATGTTTTGGTCCTCGTTTACACATTCATCTTCTCACACCAGAGAAACAGTCTGGTGTATAAACATTTGTGTGCGGTTTATTTCACTTAAGAGCGCAATCTCAAGGTGCGTCCATTGAGCTAGAAAGGTTTCAAGCTTATCTTTGTGGCAGAGTAGGACTCCACTGTATTAAAAAAAATCTTTATTCATCAGTTGATGTGCATTGGGGCTGGTTCCAAGATTTGGTGCTTACGGACTGTGCCACTGTAAACTTGGGTGCGCGTACATCACACTGTGGTATGATGCTTTTCTCTCTTTCAGGAAGACAGCTACAAAGGGTCAAATGGAACCACCACCAGTTTTAGTTACTTGAGGAATCTCCACAGTGGTTGCACCAGCCTACACTCCCACCAGCAGTGGAAAAGGGTTCCTTTTCCCCCCTGCCAGCATTTATTATGTTGACTTCTTAAAAATATCCATTCTTTCTAGAGTGAGATGGAATCTCAGCATGTTTTAAATTTGCATCTCTCGAATGACCAGTGATGGTGAGCATTTTTTTCATACATTTGGCATTTCTACTTCATCTGAGATGTGTCTATTCTCTCAGATGCCCACTTTCGGATTCGGTCTTTAAAACTGGTGGGGGGGCAGGGTGTCTGGTTTTAGTTATATTAATCTTAATATATTAATCAATATATTCTAAACAGTAGTCTGTTGTCTGAGGAACAGCTTGCAAAAATTTTTCCCACACAATGGGTAATGTCTTCGCTTGGTGATTTTTTTTGGGGGGGCTGTGCAAAAACCTTTTTAATAAGATGAGATTCCAGTTGTTGATTCTTGGTGCCAGGTCCTGTGCAGCTGAGATTTTGTTCACCAAAGTCTTTGCCTACACAGATGTCTTTAAGAGTTGTACCTATTCTATGGGCAGATTTAGTGCTTGGTGAGCAGTGTGGGTCTGGTTTTAATGTTCTGGAAAGCGGGTTTTTGCAGCACCGTGTATCGAAAAGGCTTTCTTCTCATGAAGACTTGGTAACACCTGATCTCAGTGATGATAGTCACACTGGCTCACACAGCTTTTGCAGGTATAACTGGTAGAACTTTTTTGGAAAGTAACTGTAAAATCTCAACGTTTTAAAATCCTCTCAACAATGCTTTTAGGAGTTTTTCCAAAAAAGACTTGGACATAACTGAATTTTTAATAGGTGCTGCTCTATTGCTAATGAGTGTTATATAATAGATACTCTGGTAAAAGGGGGCAAAAGTAGGATTTGAATTAGCTCTAAACTTTCTCCTTATAACCACTGCACTTCACTGTTACCAGTAGAGCCGAAGAGTGTGTGAGAGTGTGTGTGCAAGTGTTTAAAATGCAGCAGCATGGAAAACTGAAGCAGTGGAGACAACACAGATGCTCATTCCATAAGGATCTATAAATACCCTACTGTGTACGTATTCGTTCAAATAGAATGCCATCCCTGTGTGCTAAGAATTCTAAGACATCAAGTGGCACATACGGCCAGTTTGCCCCACACTTCTCTGCTCTAAAAGGGCACTGTACGTCTTCTATACCATTTGAATTTTTAGACACCTCGCAACTGAGTTTTACCCTGGGAGTGTTACAAGGCCACGTGTGAGATAACAGTAAGATCTAGATTAACAAGGCCCATGGAAAGCCTGCGAACTGAACTGACTGTGGGCACTGTAGGATCTGGGCTGTGTCAATGAGCTGATTCTGAGTCAGCACTTATGCTCCTTTCTGACAGAAGCCCTTAGCTGGGGATGGTGGTACATGTCTGTAATCCCAGCACTTGGGAGGCTGAGGGAGGAGGAGGATCCCTGTGAGTTCAAAGCCAGCCAGAACTAGAAAGTGAGAATCTATCTCAAAAAAAAAAAAAAGTTATTCTGGCAAATTCCAAATTTATAGGTTTTTTCTTTTAAAACACCGAATCTCAGAGTAGGACTTAAGTAAAGGCGCATTCCCAGACTAAAATGCCTCAGCTGGGGGGCTGGGGATTTAGCTCAGCGGCACAGTGCCTGCCTGGCAAGCCCAAGGTCGTGAGTTCGATTCCCGGTACCAGAGAAAAACCAGCAACAAAAAATAATTTTTTAAAATGCCTCAGCTGGAAGACACTTTTCCTAGCATTCTGACCTCTATTCCACTGGAACTGCAAATCCAGGTCATTCTGACTGTTTGAGACAACACAGCAACCTGTAAGAATCTCATTTTTACAGCATGTACGTGCACAATTTTTAATGTCTTTTAAAACTGAATGTTATTTCAATTAATAGATAAAAAGACGATGTTCTTACCTGATGTCCACACATGAGACTTTGGGAGGCCATCATGATGGCTTTCATTCCCGAAGCACACACTTTGTTCACAGTGGTGCACGGAGTAGAAGTAGGTAAACCTAAAACCAACATACGTCACGCTTTTCAACAACAGAGATACTCACTTTTCAAACACAACTGTAAAATTAAAGTAGAATACAGCATGTTACTATAATCTTCAAGATTTTTTCTGCCAGTATCTATGACAGTTATACTACGCACTTAACATTTTATTTAAACTCAAATGACCTCCATCTTGTCATTTTTAACATTTTAGGTATAAAAACAAAAATGTATTCCTGGTACCTGCACCCAAGATGGCTTGCCTCGTAGGGGCCTGCCCTGCCCCTCCTTGTAGAACGTTCCCCATGTAGGCCTCCTTCACTTCTTCCTTTGGGATCCCTTTTAAAAGCACCAAAAAAGCATTTCCATGTTTTACTCAATGTGACAGTCAGCAGTTACCTGTTACATAGGGTATTGCACAGCTGGAATGGTTTTTGTCAGTTTGTGTTTCGTTCCTAACTCTACAGTGCAAAGACTTTTACAGAGGAATGCACAGGCATCATGTCATTTCTGGGTTATGTATACAGTACGCACACAATGAATAGGTGTCCCACCGAGTCACTCTGCCCGCCGAGCCCAAAAGCAAAGTCCCTACTGACCTGCCTTTTCAATGGCACCCCGAATGGCAATGGAACCGAGCTGAGTGGCTGGCAGTGAGGAAAGGCTGCCCAGAAAGGATCCGATGGGTGTTCTCGTGGCACTAACTATGACCACGTCCTGGCCGGACAGAAGATGGTGACAGTCACTACAGGTAATTCATGCAGCTTATCTTTCATTAAATACATGTGGCATAAGAAAGAGGCTATTTCTACGAAGGAGTACTTACCAAAGATAAAAACGTTTGATCAGCTGAAAACATTATTACTTCAGTGCTAGCACTTTATGACTGAAGCCTTAATAAAACCTAGAAAAAGGAACTATAAGCCAAACATGAAGCTCCATCCCAGTTCTCCACAGGAGTTTTGAGGCCAGTACTTTAAAGTTTCAATTCTACTGCTCAGTAAAAACAATTTTTAAGAAAGTCACTTTACCCTTGTTAACTGCGTAATAAGCAACTTAACAAGAAGCTCCCTAACTGAGGGGAACTCAGGAGAGAAAAGCTCTCAAATGCCGTGAACGTCCACTGTGCCAGTTCTCTCCTCACACCTATCTTCCACGAACTCTTATTAAGCTGCTAGATAATTACACAGAGGGATTACTCATTTTGGGAGCCTTGTAGAACACTAGCCAGCTGATGGGATGAGAGCCATGCTTATCTACCAGGCCCTCTGTTCTAGAATCTTCCATGTGGCCTCTGCATTTGCCACAGAGGACAGTGACCTTCCCTGAGTAAAGAAAGAACACTGACTGAAAGGAAAGTTGTTTTGTAGGAAGCTATGGAGAAGCAGCAGGAATTACGCAGGAGCAGAAACTTTTTGTGATAATCTAGGAGTTTAACATTCACTTAGCTGTTCCTAACCACTGCACAATCCGGTGCCGACCTTCAAATAAACAAGTCAGAGAATGTGTGTGTGTGTGTGTGTGTGTGTGTGTGTGTGTGTGTGTGTGTGTGTGTGTTCGTTCCTGGGGATGAAATCCAGGCCCTCACACCTGCTGGGTAAATGTTCTACTACTGAGCTACATCGCCAGCCCCTAAACTCCAGTCAGAAACGTGTGCATTTTTATTGACTACATTTTCCTTAAATGCTTCAGATTTTAAAGTGCAACTTAAATTTATACTTACATTCAAAGTAGGTTTTGATCCATAATTTCGTTCCACGTGTCTTATTTCCTATAATATAAATATTGTTATATTGTAAAAAATTTCGTGTACACAATTTTATACTTCTCAGTGATGGAATTAGTGGTTGATTTCTGCCTCTGTCCTTTTTTGGGGATCGGGTGCGATGCTGGGGATCAAGCCCAAGTCTTGTGCATGCTAGGCAAGTGCTCTACCACTGAGCCACACTGCCAGGCCCATCCTGTGCTTTTATTTCCAAGTTTTCTACAGTCTACATATATCACTTTTATAAATCAGAAAAACGGCTACTTTGTAATTAATACTACTCTGATTAAGTATTTATTGGAAGTGTATGTCTAAACCTCTGATGAGTTTATCACCTTAAAACTTCTTTTAAGTGCCAGCTTTCTAAATCACCATCTTGAGTTAAATGTAATTCACAATTACTTAATCTTAGTATATCACAAGAAGTATTTATACATACATAGATTTTGATCCAGGCATGGTGGCACAGGTTTACCGTCCTAGCACTCGGGAACCTGAGATGGGAAGACCGTGAGTTCAACACTAACAAAGGTGCGTGTTGAGTTTGAGGCCAGCCTGAGTGAGTCTGAGGCCCACCTGAACTACACAGTGAGACTCTCTGAAATTTTTTAAAATATTATTTATGAAGAAAGGGAAGAGGGGCTGGAGGTGCAGCTCGGCAGGACAGCGCACACCTCGCCTGTGCAAGGTCCTAGGGTCCACGTCAGCACCAAATACCTCAGTTCTTTCCACACCGTTCTTAGAAACCAGCGCCAGCAAGAGAAATTCTAAACATGCAGGGCATAGTTCAGAGACCTACGTGATCTGAAACTGAATTATTTACAGGGCAAAGAACAAAGAATAAAACATTTTACCCTGTGAGGGCATTAAAAAAACTACAGCTTCTGTTTAGAACCTAATCTTACTGATAGCTGCAAGTTACACTGGGAATCGGATCTCGCAAAACAGCAAACAAGCCTCGATATCTAAATGTCCAAAGGACCCAAGACTTTACCTTTTCACAGATTAAACATACTTGGTCCTCAATAAACGAAATAATTAAAACTTTCAGTTTTTAATACAGAAGAGACAAAGGAAAGTAGATTTGACAAGTTCAAGTTCTGAACAGGGATGGCCACAACAACTACAAAGAACCTCCCCAAACTCGCTTTTAGAAAGTGTCTGGATGAAAAAACATGTTTAAAAATACAGTACTTGGATGAGAACCGATATACACAAATGAATACTTACAGAACATGCTTTCCTAGTAAGAACAGAGTTTAAGGTAATTCTTTCAGTGCTGATAATGTGGAATAAGTCATGTTTATGTGGAAACTTTCATGTAAACAGACTTGCCATAAAAAATAGCTTAGCCTTGACTTTTGTTTGAGGCAGGGTCTCACTGTGTAGTTCAGGCTGGCCTTGAACTCATGACAACCCTCCTGCTGAGGACCCTCCAGCCTCCAGAGCACTGAGATTATTGGCTTAGATTAGGCCTGGCTTGATTTGATTTTAAAATGTCACCTACAAGTATTCAGTGTGAGCTGTACTCCATAAAGGCCTTCACACTTTGCTGGGTCACAGAGAAGCGACGAACATGTATGCAGTTATATGACCCTTCACTTGCTTAACAACATTTTGAGATCTCTTACCTTAAGGCACTATAGTAATTTTTGTGATATGTAAAATATAGGCCTTATACTCAGTATTATGATCTTCTAGGGGAGAAATGTTAAAATTACCTGTATATATTCCTTAAATAGGATTTATTAAGAACTATAAGAATGCTGTAATAAACAAGATATTCCCTAGGTTCAGAAAGACTTGGCAGGGGGGTACTGGGAATCTAACTCAGGAATTTGCGCTTGCCACGCAGGCGTCATACCACTGATGTATATCCCCGATTTCTTTTTTTCTTTTTAATAATTTTATTATTATTACTAAATTTTTTTGGTTTTCTGAGACAGTCTCACTATGTAGTTTAGGCTGGCCTCCAACTCCTGGCCATCCTCCTGCCTCAGCCTCCCGGGTCCTGGGATTCTAGGCATGTGCCACACCACACCTGGCCAGGGGAGAAAGATTTCTTGGTGCTAGTCAGTGATTTATTTTATCTTATTAGTGTATGTCTGCAGTACATACTAGTTATGTTCCTTTTGGGGAACTGATACAACATATCTTGATCATTTTTGACCCTTTTACCCACCCCGACCTACCCCCCCCCCCGTTCTTTTCCGCATTTCCCAAAACTTCTTGTTTCCTAGCTTCTCTCTTCCATTTTACTCTTTCTTTATATTTTAGATTTCTCATATAAGAGAAACCATGCAATATTTTAATTTGTGTGTCTGATTTTCTTCCCTTAACAATATGGTCTCAAGTTCCTGGAGTTCCATTGAAATCCTTCAGGCAGGAGTTCCACGTGCATTATGTATCAATTTCATGTTAACAAAATAAGTGTAAGCTGGGCGTGGCAGCAGCGCACGCCTGTAATCCCAGCACTCGGGAGGTGGCGGCACGAGGATCATTGGGGGTTCAACGCCAGCCTGGGCTACAAAGCGAGCTCAAGGCCCGCCTGAAGTGCATAGCGAGACCCTGTCTCAAAAAGACAGAAAACAAAATAGATGTTACTTACTGCTGTAAGAGTAACCCATGTTTGTTCAGACCCTAAAAATAAAACTTATCTGCTACCTGTCTATCTACTGCCCACACCCCCCAGTGCTAGGGATCCGAGGCAGGCACGGAGCCTCCCCCTCCCCTGTTGTCATTAGCTTACAAGGTTTGGGGTTTTCACTCCCCTGAGCTCTGCGTGACATCTGCGCATCAGCGGCCGCGGGCAGCAGGCACAGTGCGCTCAAGCAGCCAGGCCCTGCGCGCCTGCTCAGCGGAGGAACGTCCGAGGGTCGAGGGGCGAAGGCAGCACGCCCTTCCCGGGCCACGCGGGCGCTGGCCCCGCTGCACGTTATCTGTACCCTAGAGGGTCCCACACAGGAAGCGCGCCTCCCGGCGGCCCCCTGCTCAGAGGGCTCCGGGAGGCGCGGCCGCCCTGCACCCGCGGTAGCCAGCGCTGGTGAGCCGAGAGCGACCGGACGCCTGCGCCC